ACAGACAGACAGGGACGGACAGTGACACACACACACACACACACACACACACTGCGTGCCGTTATTCCACTCGTGTGTGAAGGCTGCATCGTATACACTGTACATTGTCACCTTTACAACTCCACACTGACTCTGAACCCGACTTTTTACCTGCATTTAGGAATCACCTGAAGATTAGACACTCCAGCTTATTTCACCTTAATATTAGACACTTCAGCTTACTTCACCTGAAGATTAGACACTCCAGCTTATTTCACCTTAATATGAGACACTCCAGCTTATTTCACCTTAATATTAGACACTCCAGCTTATTTCACCTTAATATTAGACACTCCAGCTTATTTCACCTTAATATTAGACACTTCAGCTTACTTCACCTGAATATTAGACACTCCAGCTTATTTCACCTTAATATTAGACACTCCAGCTTATTTCACCTTAATATTAGACACTCCAGCTTATTTCACCTTAATATTAGACACTCCAGCTTAATTCACCTTAATATTAGACACTCCAGCTTATTTCACCTTAATATTACACTCCAGCTTATTTCACCTTAATATTAGACACTCCAGCTTATTTCACCTTAATATTAGACACTTCAGCTTACTTCACCTGAATATTAGACACTCCAGCTTATTTCACCTTAATATTAGACACTCCAGCTTATTTCACCTTAATATTAGACACTCCAATTTATTTCACCTGAAGATTAACCACTTTAACACTAACCTAACCTAACCAAATTTACCCTCCCCCCCAAATAGCGTTAGGGTGGTTAATCTTCAGGTGAAATAAACCGCTGTGTCTAATCCTCAGGTGATCTCCACTTAATTAACACTCACATCACCTGACTGGCGAGACTGATGGATAATTTTCCCGTGTGAGGATGTTTTGTTTTTTCCCACAACCAATGACCCGATTCTTGGCCATCCTTACTGAATTAGATTTTGATGGGAAGTCAGATGAGAAACTTTTAGATTTTGATCGAAGTTGAGGTAAAGTTAGAAGTATTTGAATTAGATTTTGAATTGAGGTTTGAGAGATAAGCTGAATTTGTTAATTAGGTTTTGATCTCAGGTAAGGTAAGGGGGGGGGGGTGAAGTAGGAGGTGAGGAGGGCAGGAGACCGTAGCAATTGGAGCAGTCATCACCAGGTCAACACCCTGAAAGTAAAAGTTGGTGTGTGTGTGTGTGTGTGTGTGTATTTATGTATGTATGTATGTATGTATGTATCTAAGTATGTATGTATGTGTGTGTGAACGGTTGGTTGTCGCGGTAAGCTCTGTGTCTGTCTATCTGTGGATGAGTGTTTGTGTTGTCTGTTTTTCTCTCTGTCTGTCTCACAGTTTAACGCACCTGTCTCAGTGACTGTCTGTGTCTGTCTGTAAGTCTGACTGGTGAACTTTTTTGTCATGGTTGAGAAATCTGTTTCCATGTCTGTCTATTTCTTCAAACCTGTCTGTCTATTGTGGTGATGGGGTGTATTTGTTGTCTGTCTACTCCCTCCCTCACCCCTCTGTCTCTCCATCCCTCCCTCCCTCACCCCTCTGTCTCTCCATCCCTCCCTCCCTCACCCCTCTGTCTCTCCATCCCTCCCTCCCTCACCCTCCATCACACCACCCACCTCTCTACCTTCTCCTTCCCTCACCCACCTCCCTATCACCTCACCCTCCATCATAACACCCAGCCTCCCCATCCACCCCTCAATTACCCCGGGTTAGGCGGAATGACCTAAGCCCGGTCACTATCCAAACACGCAACGTGATAAAAGAAAAACAAAAAGAAAACACGTGAATGCCATAACAGGTAACCCGACACAAGTGTGGGAAACTGAAAGTATTCGGTCAGGTCTTGGATGTGTCAGTGAACTAGTCAAACGTGAATGAATGACATGTACTGAAATTGGGGAGTAAATTGGTTAGGTGGCCAATTTAGATCCCTATTCCTGATGGTTGATGGAGGATGATGAGATACTTATTTTCTGATTTCCATGTGTGTAAAATTCTTCCTTTTTTGTTTTTTTGTTTGTGTTTGTTTAGTGTTAATGAGGATAGTGTTCTGTCTTTGTTATCTGTTTTATTTCTCTATATAACACTACATATGTATCTGCCTTTCTTTTTCTGTCTCTATGTATGTTAGCTTTACATTTTTATCTGTCTTAAGTCCATCTCTCTTTCTCTCTCTCAACATAGAGCGAGAAAGTCAGTTTATGTTTTTGCTTTACCTAAGATCGTCGCCTCCGTTGTCTTGGGTTCATTGAGTGACGTGGTTGTTGCATATAGTTTGGCCAGCACAGGTAAGGGAATTAATCACTACAGTTCTAGACGGAGGCCTCTTAGTGCTGGGACTCTTACAAAACCCATTAAGACTGGGATCTCTTAAAGGAAGTCGTTGAAATTCGATAGGGATGGGGTTTGAACTTTGTGATATATATGTTACCGTGATTATTGTCCAGTGTTTTGTTACAGTTTTGAAGACAACGAAGAGAGTTTTGTCAAAAGAATGATGAATATGACGTCATTTGATTTACCCTTTTTTCAGCTGCTTTAAGAAGACCTAAACAATTTTTTCGAATGGTCTGAGAAATGGCAAATGAAATTCATTGAGGACAATTGTAAAGTACTTAGTCTAGAGATATAAACAGAGAAACCAAATTCCATGTGAACACCGATGTTACAGAGAAATCCAACCGTGAGAAAGATTTAGGAGTAATGATAAGTAGGTATCTTAAACCAAGTAAACAATGTGTATTTGCTCGAAACAAGGCTAACAAAGTACTTGGGTTCATACAAAGGAGTGTTAGTTACAAGACTAGCGAGGTCATCCTAAAACTATATCTTGCGCTTGTGAGACCTCACTTGGATTAACGCAGTTCAATTCTGGTCACCGTACTACAGAATGCATATAGAATCCCTTGGAAGAATTCAGAGGAGAATGACAAGACTAATCCTGGGCATTAGGAACCTTGAGTATAGAGACAGGTTAAAGCATCTTAATCTGCACTCCCTCGAGAGACGTAGAGTGAGGGGCGATATGATAGAGGTGTATAAATGGAAGTCAGGGCTAAACAAAGGGGACATTACAAAGGTACTCAAACTATCCAACCAGGAGCGAACTCGTAACAATGGTTTTAAATTAGACAAATTTAGATTTAGGCGCGAAATGGGTAAAGATTGGTTTGGAAATAGAGTAGTGGATGAGTGGAACAAGTTACCAAATATCATCATTAACTCGAATACGCTGGATAACTTCAAACATAGGTTAGATGGATATATGAGCAATAGGGGTTGGGTGTAAATGGGACTGCCCAGTATGGGCCATTAGGCCCGCTGCAGTTTCCTCCGGTCTTATGTTATGTAACTGACCATCGATCACTACCATATGTTTGTATCTCTCTACTGAACTTTAGACACCCTGGGGATCATCTGAACTTTAGACACCCTGGGGATCAACTGAACTTTAGGCACCCTGGGGAATCAATTGAACTTTTGACACCCTGGGGATCATCTGAACTTCAGGCACCCTGGGGGATCAACTGAACTTTAGACACTCCATAGAAAATGAATTGAACCTTAAGTACCCTGGGGTGTCTAAAGTTCAGGTGACACCAAGAAGGGTGAGTCTGGCCTGGGGGGAGTGTAAAGCAACCTACACCCGTGGACTGTAGTGAGGCCAGAGTATAATTCGGTCTTCCACTAATCAGCGCGTGGCAATACGAGCAATATTCGGATTTACAAACATTTAGAATTAGAATATTATTTGTTTTAGCACATATTCAAAATATTTTAGTCTGTTATATAACCTACCATTACCTTAGTTAACCTTAAATTTAACTATCCCTAACCTGGAAAAATACTGTTATTGAGATTCGGGTTAGGTTAGTTTAGGTTAGGCGAGGCTAGGTAATGTTAGGTTACATTATTTCGTATTTCCAACAAATAAGGATGTTACAATTGTGTTCAGCATCCTCAAAAACCCCCTTGTCTTCCTTTCTGTATACTGTACCCCAAAATCGGTGCTCGTGGCCTCACAACAAGCGTTACATCTACCTGTGGCCTAGCACCCATAAACTAAATGGTTTTTACAGACTCCAACATCAGATAATTTGACAGAATTATGTCATTTCCTAGCAATATTCCTTAGTTGTTGGCCTTATGATATTATTGCTGCGCTTCAACTACTGTACTAAGGTCTATAAGCGCATTACAAGGGTAGTAATAGCACTTGTCCTTAAATAATAAAAGATTACAAGTGATAGAACTGTTCCTGCCCTTAGTCAGTGTCCTCTGATTTGAATGTTGGGATATGTATGCCATGGAAAGTAAGTAATTCCCGAAGCCGCTGTCGTCTTGTTTGGCAATCATTCACAAGACAATCATTCACTATGGTACTATAGTGCGCGACTGTTTAAGGGCCCCATACACAACCAATCAGGACTGACTCATAGTAACTGAACAATCATTGATATTTCCCATACACGGAGAAGGAAATAGCACACTCCTCGGTTAGTCTCGGTGGCGCGGCTGGACAACAACGTGAGTGAAGCTGCACGTTTAGTAATAATTCTTGCTCTGGAAACATATGATCCAAAGGAAAAACGAGCCAGAAGAATTTGGATGAAAGAGTGGCATAAAAAACGACCCGAGTTTTTTCAAGGTAACCTGCTGCAGGAGACGATTACGTCATATTCCGCAGACTATAGAAATTTCCTGCCGATGGACCATGAAACTATCCATGTGTGTTGATAATGATTGTCTCTCATAAAGAAGGAAGACACAAATATTAAAGATGTAATTTCACCAAATGAAAGACTTTCCAGTACTCTATGTTTCCTTGCAACAGGGCAGTGTTTTGAGGATTTGAAGTTGACTATTGCATTCTCTGCACAGTCATGGGGCCCGTGACATGGGCATATTATTATAGAAACATGTACTGCTATCATATCTGTACTGAAAGACAGTATTAAGGTATGTAATACAAATCATTACTAACGGTATATGATTTTTGCACTCTTTAATAGTTTAACCTTTCAAAACAAGCACAGGTTGATTTTTGCCAAAGAACAAAAAATAAATAAAAATCCAAATTTGGTTAAGTAAAGTTTTTTGGGGTAAATTAACTAAATTACTCTGCTCACATAATTTATGTAAAATAATGGAATTTTCACACAAAATTATTACTGTTTAAACTATACTGAGGGTCAGAGAGAAGATCGGCTATTGATGCATATACCCCAGGGTTACTAGCAGTTAGAAAATAAAAAGTGCATTCTGTCCATTACTTTCCCTGTACAGTATATTTGAGGACCACTAGCTGCTGCAGCTGCTGCCAGGCGATACGTTTGGAATGGGTGTAGAGGATTCGCTATGATGTACACTGCTGGGTTCATTTATCTTCACAGAGTGCCGGTGTAAACACCCCAAGCGACCTTCAAAAAAGATGTCATTAATTGCTTTTTTCGCATATATTTGTTGATCTTGTGTCAACATTCTGAATTCGTGAGCCCAACTTCTTGCCAACACATCAATGGCGTCATCACTTCGACGAAGATGATCACAAGCCAATGCTAGAAGCTCATCTACTTGGGTGTTTCCATTCCTCTTATGTCTTTTTCTACATGGCTGCGACAACATCTGTGGTGACTGTTGACTGTTAGCAGGATGATTACTCGGTTCCTGCAAGAAGGGGCTGGTATATATAAAATAAATATATAATGTTAAGACCTATACATTTTATATGAAAGCCTAATATTATTAATCTAAAAGATGCCGCAGACTGAAATAAGCATATCGAAATGAGAAACCCCCTGGATTATGGTCGTTCTACTACAACTGTAAGCAAACATTCTGTGTGATGCTAATGGCATTTGTGAATGCAAACTATGAATTCGTCATGGTAGATGATGGAACAAATGGAAGGGTTTCTGATGGAGGCGTGTTTGCAAACACTAATTTCTGTAAACGGGTAAAAAAAAAACTGCGTATCTCTGAAACCGGACACTACTTGCAGGTTAAATGATGTAATAATGCCCTATGTGCTCGTTGCTGATGACGGGTTTCCTCTAATGAACAACTTAATGAAGCCTTATGCCCAAAGAAACCTGACCAAAGAACACGAGACTTACAATTACCAGGCATCACGATGCCGCCGTGTTGTTGAAAACTCATTTGGCATACGCCGTAGAATTTTTCTGAATACTATAAATGTGTCCAAGTAAAACATAAACAATAGTAATGGCATGCTGTTTCATGATTATGTGCGGAAGCGAACCGTACAAGTGTATTTACAAGATGCTTTTGATGTTGAAGATTTAAATATTAAACAAATTCAAGAAGGAAATTGGGGGGTCGACAGTAGACAACCTATTTCATTAGAAGCTACAAGAGTACGCAATGCACCTGCTTCAGTGAAAGATACAAGGGGTAAATTATGTGAGTATCTCAATGCAGACCAGTTCCGTGGCAGGAAATGAGAATCCAAGAACAGGAATGAGTTACAATGTTATATAGTAATAAATGTGGAATTACTTACAATATTACGTATCGTAGGCCTAATAACAAATGTGGAGTGAGTTGCAATATTGTGTACTGTAAGCCTAATATTAAATGTGGAATGAGTAATACAATAGCAATGATTAACAACATTATGTGTAATATAAATGTGGTATATTCACTTACCGAGTTATCCAAGGAGGTATCACTCGTCCTTTCCTCTCCTCCACCCATGGCTGAAATACCACCCTGTTGTGTTTCTTGATCTCGCAGAAATTTCATATCTTCAAAATACCATAACGATGGTGTGTAAACATCACTCCCAGCTCCTGACTTTTTGCTGCTAATAACTTTCTTCAATTCTCGTCGATAGTTGGAGCGGAAGGCATTAATTTTCTTGGTAACCATTTCCCTGTTTGCATTTGGTTCAATTTCTTTGAGTTTATTCACTAACTTATCATAGCACTCAGATTTTGCACATCTGTTCCTATACACATCACTTTTTACCTTCCATAGTGCTGGTAATCCACCATACATTTCAATAAACTTTCGCCAAAATTCACGAGTTTCACTCACGCTCGCCATGGCTGCTAGTGAAAAACTGAGCCGCTGAGCGTGATTGTGCAATCATTGCCAGAATCGAGTCGTAGAGAGTTTGGCCAACCAGGCACCATGTTGTTACTCAGCGGGTGAAAAGTCTTATCAGGTTGTCTCCCACATAATGTTCGGGTTTATAATTAATATCACATTATATGAAGAAACCAATATTAATGAGTGTCCTCATATTATTACCAATATGGCACCTGCATGTCAATCAGGTTCAATTGCCGAGTTGACCAAACTCTATTTACAGCTCTGATCATTGCCACACACACTATCAAGCATGATTGCGCAAGCGTCATGATTGACGAAAAAGAGGATATAAGATAATGTATCGTCTCTCATTAATTTTCTTGATTCAACATACATGTATTCACCATGACGTCACGTTTCAACATCAATATTACTTCCCGGTGTAGTTGACCAAAGTATACGAAACGATAACTGCGCATGTGCGGTTGAAGACGTCACAGTATACCCGGAGTTGCCTCCCACTAGGAACTTTCGGCCCGCGTATAGGCGCTATTGGGCGGACCCGAAGTTCCCCGTACCGAAAGTTACAACTCTGCCCTCATGGGCGTCTGCAGATGGGCAAGGGGGTATTGCCCCTCCCTAGATTCATTAAATTTTCATCATTTGCATCCTGTTTTTAATATCTACTTGGTTTAGCCCATCACAATGCTTTTAACTTTTCGGAACTAATTTATTTTTTTCAACTTGTTTTACTACATTTATTTTTAACCGTATGTTCAAGCACGTGTATTTTAGTTTTCACTACCGCCATACTTTTATCTTGTAAATAAACCATTTATTATTATTATTAGGCGGACCAGAAGTTCCCCGTACCGAAAGTTACTACTCTGCTCTCATGTTTTCCTTCTTGCACCATACTCCTTTTGCTTTCTCTGAGCCGTCAACATTTTCCAAAACCTATATTTAACAAAACTGAAAAATTTAGTTCACTATATAGGTACTGCATAATCAAAAGAAACATTTATTTGGAAATCCATATTGAACACAAAAGGAAAAATTTATATATATATATATATATATATTTCATGTAGATCTACAATGAAAACGTGGATAAGATAAATCTTAATAAAATCACACGGGAAAAGGTGCTCCGTTGTTTCCCTTTTCCTGTGTGATTTTATCAAGATATATATATATATATATATATATATATATATATATATATATATATATATATATATATATATATATATATATATATATATATATATACTTGTTGCAAACGCATACCTTTTTATGTACCATTTCTACTTGGGATTGCAAGCACGCCTGGTATTCTTCCACATTTAGACTTGAGATTGAGTTTATCTCAATGTCTTCATCATGGCTCACATCCATCTGTAAAAATGTGCTGCATTATTTTACACAGATAAGCTTCTTCGTGGCTACTTGGCTGATACCCATGATTTCGAAGTGCCCCCCCCCCCTATTTACTTCACCTTTACCTATGGGGTAGATACAGACTTTTTCAAGTACATGAAATTAAACCATGGGCGCGTGGATTACTAATACTGCACATTACCACTAGGGCACCATAATAATATGACAATCTATTAAAAACTTACTTCAATGGGTAGACGTGGCTCTCGGTTGTACATGAGATAAAATGGCGTGAACTTTGTTGAAGCTTTCTTCTGAGTACGAAGACTAAAGGCCACAGCTTCTAGATAACAATCCCAGTCATTTTGTTTTTCATTGCATAATTTACCGAGCCTAGTTTTCAGGGTACGGTTTGTTCTGCAAACACAAAAGTAAACCAAGTGAAAATACAATGCCATAATTCCCTAGACAGATATATTAAAATATGGCTCAGTAGTAGAGGGCAGCATTGTGGACTTGGACACCTCACACTCCAGTACAATAAGCATAATCATTAATTACCCACATGATGCCCTCTGCCATACATAATGCCTTGTGCTGGAGCAAGCATGAGGCAACATGAAGGGTTGCAAAGTGCTTATATATATATATATATATATATATATATATATATATATATATATATATATATATATATATATATATATATATATATATATATAAACACACCTTTCATCCAATCCATTAGTCTGGGGATGGTATACTGATGTCACCATCCTCTCAATACCGAATTTTTCGGCCAATGCAGAATTGGTATGGTTTACAAACTCCTTGCCTTGGTCGGACAACAATTTCTTTGGAGCTCCATACCTGAAACAGAAAAGTGCATGCCCATCTTTGCAAGTTTCACGTGTGACAAGAAGCCATGAACTTTAGAGGATGGAGTATTGCATGACAAAACGAGTGACTCCATTTCAGTAATTAGTCTAGCATTGCGCTGTTATTTTATTTTATAATTTCAATTAATATTTGTTTTCAAAATATAGTAAACGATTACACATTTATCAATAAATATTTAATGGCTAAATAAACTAGTAATCTTAGTTCACTAAAAGCGTCATACTAGTATATTTATATTGTTACTATGATCCATTAAATCGTTTATAATATTATGACAAAATATTTTTTCAGGTGTTTTGTGGCAGAAAATTTATGGCAGAAACAAAATTGATGGTTTATAAAAATTTTAATTACTTACCTGTAAATATAGCTTTCGATCTTTTCAGCCACACAAGCACCAGACTTCTGCTTCAGTGGGTACAACTCAACCCACTTTGTGAAATAATCAGTTAGGGTAAGAACATATTTGTACCCATCAGATGTTTCAGGTAATGGACCAATTAAGTCCATACCCACCATATACAGTGACTCAACCACTTGTGTGGGTACAAGTTTTGGTGCCATTGTCTTTATTTTCTGGGATCTCTGGCAGGCATCACATCTACTAACCTGTAACATATTTCAAATTACTATTAATTCAAGGCTTAAACAAATGTACCATATAAACAAAGCTACATTGACATGTTGCTATGTCCAAATGGTTTACCAACATGTAAAGTAAAACCTTTATTTCACTATGGCTGTAAATATTATGAACATATCAATATTGTAACTAGCTGATAAGTAATTTCGGAACTTCTTCAGAACACTCTGAGTGGCACACGCCACTGCTGTGCTTTGATGAAGCACAGGTGAATAATAATAATACTAAAAATTGCAATATAATTAAAACATTTCGACTGACAACTACAGTCCTTATCAGTTAAATAAAATAGTATAATATAATATATAATCAGGTTTATATGTAAAAATTTTCCAAATATGCCACCTCAGGATATTTAAATTACGGCTACTAAATACATGGAAATGACAACGGAAACACAAAATGGAACATTTTAAATGATCATTAAAAGAAAACACAAAATTAAGAAGCCAAGAGTATAGAGAAATTTCAATCTCCTTTAAGTAAAGTTTTAACCAGAATGTCTTTGATAAGGGGGTCTAAATCGTAGTTGCCAGAATTCAAGTTTAAGTTGGAAATCTTATGTAAATAAAGTATACGACTCAGCTAACTTTTTATTTAATTCTTCACATGTACTTCATCAAATATTTTTTTAAATTTGTATATTTTGTTTATCATAGTGCGAATACACTCATACTTGCAAATGTTTGAGGTCCGTGCTCATATATATATATATATATATATATATATATATATATATATATATATATATATATATATATATATATATATATATATATATATATATTGCAGTGTAAAAATGTATTAAAATAATATAATGGGGCTTACATAATCTTTGACTTCTTCTTTTACGCCCTTCCAGTAATACCGCTGCGTAATTTTGTCAGTTGTGGCATTGATACCACTGTGCCCGGCAGATGGTGCAACATGGCAGTTCAAAAGAATCCCCTGCTTTTCTTCATCTGAAGTGATAATTCTCTGCCATAATCCTGAATTTGGAGCCATGTAAAATAGAGTTCCTGTTTCTGAAAGAAAAAGCAAAAATGGTGGTCTGAATAAGCCTAGTTGGACTTTTTCATTAGGGGCCAAGTTGGTCAATAGTGAGCAGAGTTGATGATCCAATGTAGAGGACCACGAGTATACAAAACTCAAATTTGCTAAGTTATATACTAACCATCAATTCTGTACTGATTGCTGCTCGTAGCCTTCACCACTGCCCTCTTTAGACGCTGGTCACTTCCTAGCCGATGGGTGTTATTTTCTAGGTAGTACTTAATATACTCCATGTACTCACAGAACTTTTTAAATTTCTTATCTTGCGTTCCCTGCCCTGTCAGAGTCGCCATACCCACTTATCTCTCGCCACAGCACAACGGGTCACTTCTGGTCCGACCCGACGGCCGACGCTTGGTGAGGCTGGGAACGTCAGTGTTTGTGTATGTGACGTCATCAACCGCGCATGCGCAGCTGTCGTTTCGTACACTTCTGGTCCGGGTAACTTTGGTCTGCTACACCGGTAAATTATTGTTGAATATTGTAAATATCTTTTCCAATAACCCAGTTGGAAAAACCTCAAATATGTTGACTTATTAAATTGAAACAGAGGATTCATATTTTTTTAATGCTGAGAGGAAATTTCGTTTTTTTTTGTGTGTGTAAACAATAAGCTTTACGTGATCTGGACTTAAGAGGTTCGTTGGAAGTGTGGTAGTGTCTTGATGCACGTGTGTCAACAAATTGTTTCTGTGTTTTAAATTTTATTTTAGCTGGTAAGATGATAATTAATTGGTTCTGAAACCGAACACTCCCGTGTTTATTTATTATTTGGTTAACAGCTAACATTATCTGTAATTGTGATAGGGACTGAGTAACACTCCCATAGTAAAACTCCTCCACAACTTGTACATCAGTACATAATTTTGAATGGAGATCACCGAGAAAAATATACGTAGGAAATTATTCGCATAGTAGCTTATGTTCTTTTAATTTTAATTTTTGTATTGGCTAATAACAAGAGCCTGGCTAGCTGTACTCAAGGTAAGCACTACATTGTATTTGCACGAGAACAGGCCCGGGCGACGTCAGGAGCAACTACCCGGTACACTAGTTGTCTGTATGTACTTTGAGATATTATATTAGCATGGGATTACGTGTCAGAGGAATATTTGATGATGGTTATGTGAAATTCCAAACTTGGGTCAGGCCGCAGTAATATGTCAATTGTGTAATATATAAGGTTGAGGAGACAGGTTACAGTTACGTAGTGGATATTTTCCTCTGACCTAATAACGCTATTTTACCGTGAGTACGCTCTGACTGGGGGGTCTGCCCCCCCAGCTAGGAAGTTAGGTAGGTAGGTAGGTTTGGTTGGTAAGGTCAGGTTTTATTCGGTTCTAGTAAAGCATGCCTCCTCTTTTATAATGATAAATTTCCATGCACAACAGAAATATAGTTTGGTATGTTTATAGCTACTTAACGATCGACTCACGGCAAAATAAATTCCAAATGCCGTCAGTCATGGTCAAATATAGTTCTTGTGTTTTTCGTCAGTAGTGGACGATTAGCCAATCTGAGCGCACTCACGGTAAAATAGCGTTAGTAGGAACTTAGCTGGTCACGGCAAAATATCCACTGCCTTACAGTTACGGCAACCGTTTGTGAAACTTCGATGACTAAACAATGATAGTTTCTAAGAAAGCCTTTATTTTTTACTAATCCAAACGAACCTAACAACTAACGTAACAACTAAACCTAACCAAATCTACCCGATAACCTAAACATTAAGAACTTAAATTGTCAGTACGGCTGCCGTATGTATATCCAATGAGATATTTTGGTGTATGGCTGCCATACCTGTATCCAATATGAATAATATTTAACAACAATGGTCCAGGCTGACTAGTTACCTAACAGAAATATTTATAGAAGAAACGATAATACTTGATGAGACTGGTCTGAGTAGGTAATGGTGGGGGAGACAGTACTCTCTGGAAAGAACTAAAGGAATTGTACCAAAATTTCCAGAGATGTTATTTGCATAGTATTAAATAAGAAAATCAATACTATAATGCACAAAACCTGACATAACATCACCAAACAAAACGTACCTTACTTTAGAAATACTGTAATAATAATAATAATAGCCAAAAGGATGACACAGTACATATTAAAAATTGGTAAGATTTGCTATATTGGTAAAGGTCGTGGAGATGGTTAGCATCAGAAAAACTTTATGGAATTGAACCAAAATTTCTGGAGATACTATTTGAATGATACTGAACACAAACCTGACCTGACCTAACCTAACCTAACCTAACCAACCTAACCAAAGAAACCTAACATCCTAGCAGGAGGGCTCCGCATATTTAACAAAAAGAACTTGCTTTGATATCTGGTACCAATGGAAGCAGCTGTCTTGAGAAAAGATTGGACCAATACAGTCAGATACCGGCGAGCTCTCTGATAACGACTGAGAAATGAGCAATACTCTGAATAAATATTTTTCAACAGTTTTCACCACCGAAAATTTAAACATGATACCTGAGGCACCGACTCTATACAGACATACTGAAGAAAATAAATTAAGCAAGATAGTATTGACTAGTAACGATGGTAGTAAGCAAATAGACAAACTAAAGCCTAATAAGTCACCAGGTCCTGATGGGATATTTGCCAGAGTATTAAAGGAATGTAAGGAAGAGCTTAGTACCAAAGTTGTTTAACAAGTCCTTAAAAACGGGTGTAGTACCAGAATCCTGCAGGATAACGAATGTAATGCCGATTTTCAAGAAGAGAGATACATCACTATCCTCTTAACTACCAACCAATCAGTCTAACATCAGTTGTAGGCAAATTACTGGAAGCAATCATTTCAAACTCTATTCGAAATCACCTGGAGAAGCACAAGTTGATCAATGATTCCCAACATGGCTTCACAAGCGGACGTTCATGTCTAACTAATCTATTAACATTCTTTTCATCAGTTTTCGATTCGGTGGACGAGGGGCACAATTATGATGTGGTATATCTCGACTTTAGCAAAGCCTTCGACAGAGTCCCCCACGAAAGACTAATAAGAAAAGTGGAGGCTCATGGCATTAAAGGTGATGTTCTAAAATGGATTAGGGCGTGGTTACAGGACAGGTAGCAGCGAGTGAGCATTAACGGCACCAAATCCCATTGGAGCAACATCACTGGTGGAGTTCCATAAGGCTCAGTACTTGGACCATTATTATTTATTATATACATAAATGACATAGATATCGGCATAGACAGCAACATAAGTAAATTTGCTGATGACACTAAAATAGGATGCGTAATTAAATCTGACGAGGACTCCGCAAAACTACAGGAAGATCTAAAAAAAAATTTTGAATGGTCTGAAAAATGGCAGATGAAATTCAGTGTGGACAAATGTAAAGTACTCAGTATAGGAGATGTAAACAGGGAAACCAGATACCAGATGAACAATGATGTTATTGAGAAATCCGACTGCGAAAGAGATTTAGGAGTAATGATAAGTAGGAATCTTAAGCCAAGTAAATAATGTGTATTTGCTCGAAACAAGGCTAATAAAGTACTTGGGTTCATACAAAGGAGTGTTAGTTACAAGACTAGCGAGGTCATCTTAAAACTATATCTTGCGCTTGTGAGACCTCACTTGGATTACTCAGTTCAATTCTGATCACCGTATTACAGAATGGATATAAGAGTCCTTGGAAAGAATTCAGTGGAGAATGACAAGACTAATCCTGGGCATTAGGAACCTTGAGTACAGAGACAGGTTAAAGCATCTTAATTTGCACTCCCTCGAGAGACGTAGAGTGTGTGGCGACATGATAGAGGTGTATAAATGGAAGTCAGGGCTGAACAAAGGGGACATTACAAAGGTACTCAAACTATCCAACCAGGAGCGAACTCATAACAATGGTTTTAAATTAGACAAATTTAGATTTAGGCGCGAAATAGGTAAATATTGGTTTGGAAATAGAGTAGTGGACGAGTGGAACAAATTACCAAATATCATCATTAACTCGAATATGCTGGATAGCTTCAAACGTAGGTTGGATGGATATACAGTGGTCCCTCGGTTAACGAACACAATCCGTTCCAGCAGGTTGTTCGTTAACCTAAAAATTCGTTAACCGAAACCATTGTTTCAATGGGTTTTTGGGTAATTGGTTCCAGCTCACCGAAAATTGCCTAAATTCAACAAAAATGGGAGAAAAGTTCACTTACTTTGAGGTGTGTATGTAGAAGGCTCCTGGATGATGATGATGATGATGATGGGAATTAGAATGGGGGTGGAGGAGAAGGAAGAAGAGAAGGCATTGGGGTGGAAGAGAAGTCACCCCATGGCACCATTTCTCCCATAAAATTTTAGTTCTCTTGGTGTATTTCAAGATTATTTTCTTTAAATCAACACTGCACTGCATTATATATTGTCAATATGTAAAATATATTTCAAAATGACCAATAATTTGCTTGGAAACACCGAAAAAAAGCGTTTAGTTGAAGAGAGTCTCAAGCAAGATGTTACCTCCAGTGAAAACAGAGAGAGACTAACGCCTGTTTGCTGTGTTAAGAGGCTGGATGCCGCTCATTAAACTAGTCACTTTACCTTCAATTATGTTCAATAATTGTTAAAATGACTAAAAAATTGAATATTAAACTTTTAAAATTATTGAATAGTATAAACGTCTTGTTATTTACTAAAATAGTAAGGAATTTAAGCCCTAGAACCGATTAATGTATTGGCAGACTAATACTAAAGCTGGTTGACCGGCCAGTGCAAGCGAAAACATGTTGAGGTCGGTTCGTAAGAAATTCGTTAACCGAATTTTTGTTCGTTAACCGAATTTAAGAATCTTATGGGAGGCAGTTCGTTAACCGAGGCGTTCGTTAACCGAGGGACCACTGTATGAGCAATAGGGGTTGGGTGTAAATGGAACTGCCCAGTATGGGCCAATAGGCCCGCTGCAGTTTCCTCCATTCTTATGTTCTCATGGTTGGACCGAGCGGCTCTGTTGCTAAACTGAAACAAGCAAATAGCTGACGACAAGCTGATCGTGAGCTCAGTCACTATGGGACCTTCAATCCTCGACCACTTTCAAGGATCTGCTACTGCTAATGCCATCTATCATGTGAAATGGAAATGTAAACACTGTGATAGGCTTGTTGGTGGTAATGTTTGCTGCACTTCAAACTTCCACACACATATTAAGGCAATCATATAAATTAATCAAGATTTAAACTAGCCCTGTAATCATAAATATGGTAAGCATATGATTAATCATAATCAAGTTTTTTTCATGATTTTTATTCAAAATGAAATCATTATAATTTTTCTTAATGATTATATACATATATTCATGATATACTGTAATCATAATGAGCATTGATTGCCATTATTAAACATAGGCATAATCAAATGTGTAATCGGCCCCATGTCTGTTTGGTGATACACACAAACCAGCAAAACAGTCTTCCTAACCTAGGATGGACGTTTATTATTATTTTTAGGTTAAAGTTTGTGTAGGCAAATGACAGTTTGTATGTCAATAGATCAGAGTACATTGCATTTGTCATGTCACTTGTCATGCACAACATAGTGTTGCTCGCACAAGTGACAGCAGCAGCATCTTTATTTATGGGATAAAGTGGGGACGAAAACCTGGATACAAAAAATTTATTCCTCCACTTGATATAACTGTACAGTAAACCCTTGCTATTCGCGGATTTGTGATTCGTATTTTCGACTAATAGCAGTAAGCAGATGTTGGCTAGCTTACAAGCTTCTCCTGCAGCGCAACGAGTCATTGCCACACGCCTGCAACATCTTCTCTCCCGCCTCTTTCTTTGTTTGCGCTCAACCATTGCCTGCGACGCAGCATCTCTTGTGTTGTATTCAAAACAATAGTGTTTCTGTGTGAAATGGCCCCTAAAAGACTACATAGTGTCAGAGCTAGTGCCACCCCACCATCTGCCTCCCCACCAACCACCTCCCCACCAACCACCTCCCCACCATGCACCACCCCACCACCTGCCTCCTTGCCACCCGCCTCTCCACTAACCACCATTGCATCACCCTCTTCCAGCAGTGATCCTGATGATCCCCCTATGCTTCAGTAACCAGATTTCATCCTACTGTACAGTACACTTCATCAAAGGAGAGTAGTACAGTATTGGCGGTTTAATTTTCTCATACATAGTACTTTATAGGTAAACAGTAGTGCACTAAGGTAGTGTACGTTGCTGTTCATGGTTTTGCCAATTGGCCGCCATTCCTTGGAACCTAAACCTGCAAATAGCAAGGGTTTACTATACTACTATAATTTTGAGGTCAGAAATAAGCTTTCTATGATGATGATTCTTGTTAGGTGGCTGGATAACCCAAACTAATTTCCTTAAATATTACCACTAAATGTATAGTAATATGTACAGTAAATTGTCTGTTCATGGATCTTCACTTACTTCCATTATTTGTTCTGATTTATTGAAGTTGATAATGCTGATCATAAATTACTAACCAATCTCACTTAACCTAACCTAGCAATACCATGTTTGCAAGTGACCAAATTCAATAATCTAGGTTGTCAGACAAATGCGGAAATACTGTGGGTATGAATTGTGCACCTAAACAGTCTCCAGTATTTGTGTGTGCCACTTGCGTGCCTGAACCAGCAACTTGTGGGCATTTCACCAGAGAAATAAATGCTTTCTTACATTACAGAACGGCCAAAAAAGAGGAATCTTCCCCCTACTGTAATTAATATATTTTTACTTGTGTTGTATTGCATTAAGCTGTACATGCAACATTTCATTACTTCTGTGTTTTGTATTTCATCTTTATTGTTGCGCTTACCATATGCAAAAGGTAACTACTGTACCTGTCCGTACTGCACTGTATTAACTGAAAATGTCTCTTCCAGGTAGCTGAGTATTTAAGCAAGATGCCCACCCAAGCAGAGATTTTTGCTGAATTGGTAAGCATTGAGAGGGAGGGTGGTTGGGAACCCTGCATTCTTGCATGACATGATCATAATGTGATTTGGCTGTTACTGTAAATTAATGTAGTCACTCCCAGAGACTTGTTTTATTTCATTGTTAAATGTAACTGCAGAAAAATCCTGTGTTAAACTGGTATGATCGCAGTTAATTTTGGTGTGATTTGCAACAAGAGTTTATCATATGGACCAGGCTGTATAGATTACAGTACTGTACTGTTAGTTTGAAATTTATACATAATACTATTGGTTATTGTTTCAGGGCATCCCTGGGGGTGTAGCTGCTGGCGCTGGTGTGGGTGGCGGAGGAAGGGGAGCTGTTAATGCTGAGGAGCTTGAAAATGATGTATGTACTAGAATTAAATCAGAATCCATATTCATGAAAAATGAACGAAGCATATTTATTTAATATCTAGTAAAAGGTTTACCTGTCCTGGATGCATAAAATTGTGACTGCAGTTCTGCACCACATAAAAGTTTTGGTTCAGTCCAGAAACTGCTTTATTATGGTATTTCCACCAAACTAATAAAACCATTTCATAATTACATTGATGGTCAAGCAGTTAGGCATTAACATTCACTTGGTGTACGGAAATATGATTCTTATGTGACATGTGAAACCATCCTATTGTGAGATTGTTGTGGGGTTATTTGGGTCAACTTTATCATATCTCACCCCTTGAACCAGAACTTTTATAGGAATCTGCTTCTGTTTGACCTGGAATTGAAGCCAGGCCAGCAGAGCAGCATGTTTATGTATTAGATAATCCACAACCAAGGCAGTTGGTGTCTATATTCAGGTGACTTAAGGAAAACCTGCTCTAATAGCTTGTTTTGGTAAAATGTTCCTTATACTACCCTCGGTGTTCTTTATTTTATTTGACTTCTCATAACCATGCAGGGCAGCTTAAATGTTGAGTGGTTAGTGAAGTTGATAGGCTGTACTGAGAGTACTGTACAGTAAAATCAAGAATGTCTTACAATGTTAGATAATAAATCATTTCAGCACACCTAAGACTCAGAGAAGGGTTACAGTATTTGTTATTCATATTGACCATAGACAATGGTTATTATAATCTTTGTTATTTTTTCCCCACAAGCTGCCAGGCGTTAATGTTTTGGGTTGTGCTTGTTGAAAGCAATACCTAGAATATAAATTATGGTGTAATTGTATTGTTGACTTGTAGCTATTTGGCAAGATTTATCTTCATTTTTCCTGGGAAATTTTCTGTATTTTTAGAATACAATTACTGCACTATGTTAATTTTTTTAGATATTAACAGATAACAGTAAGTTTTATATATCTCAACATAATTTTACTGTTTTCTTTTAATAATTTTCAGTCCACCATGGAAGAACTCTGGGCAATGAAGGCCATGGAACACTCCGAAATTCATTTTAACGTAAGTACCGTAAGTAAATTGGAATGGAATGGAAAAGACATATTTATGTAGGTTGTCCAATTTGGAGGGAATCATGAAAAATTTATCAGCTAAGTGGAATAGTGTTAAAGAATAGTCGGCTGCCTGACAGAAATGTTTAGGTTTAATAGATTATAAGGTTTAATATAGTCAGTAAATTTTTTATCTTAAAAGCTACAACCCAGTCACTTTTTTTTTTTTTACCAGATTTCCTTTTCTATGTTGGAAATCCACTTTGTAGTTTGTGCAGCACAACTGCACCATTTTTATCTCATTGAACTGTCTCCCATTTTCTGTATTGCCATAGAACCAAAGATTTTTTGTTTCTTAATTTATCCATAGTACAGTATTCTTAAACTTCTCATCTCTCCTGTACCTGTGTTTATTCTCATTTTTAATACAGTAATTTTATTCTTAAAAGGCGGGCAAGGAAGAAATGTTTCCTTTGTGCAATGGTTAAAACCCTTTACAAATTTCTTTAGCAGATCTTATGACTTATGTTGGTGAGTTTGATTTGTGAAATGCCATATGTGGGCAGGTGGTGGTCTCCATGGCTGGCATACACAACATTTTTAAGTGCAAACACAGTTGTTAAGGCTGACATTTTCCTGTTAAGCACTAATGGTACATACACAAAGCTTTTAAGGGCCTTAATAGTTCTGTTAAGTTAAAAGACCTCGGGAGCACTTTAAGTCCCGCAATAGTCGTCTGTTAGTCGATACCAAGGCGAACCAACAACAAAAACAGCGGTGGCAACACATTTGTCGGGAAAGGAGAGATATATTTAATGAATATAGTTGTATATATTAAATATAGTGTGAATATATTGTGTGTACAGTATTCCCTCTATATAGCAGAGATCATCTTTCTTGACTTGGACAATACTGACAATCAGCATGTCTCACACTTTGCCACTGACCTCACCACACCAGGAAATGCAGCAGTGACTCTCATGATGATTTCCAGCCATGCCCTCTTTGGTTATTTTTTGTTAACCACCCATCACCTTTTTTTCACATGAAAAATATATCTTTTCACTAGTTTTCTTGCTGTTTTAGATGATTCTGACATATATCTTTGGGGCAAATCACTTTTTTTTTTAGTTAGGTTAGGACGTAGCCTGTTAGGTCAGGTACCCTAACCAAACTAAAAAAAAGTTAGGTTAGTTTAGGTTACCTGACCTAACAGGCTACGTCCTAATCTAACCTAACTAAAAAAAAAGTTAGGTTAGGTTACCTGACCTAACAGGCCACATCCTATAACATGTTTGTTTACAAACAGCACAGCAAGGAAAAGCTAATGATCACTATCCTTAGTTAATAAATCATCCTTCAAACTGCATAGATTAGATTTTTTTTTAATAATCAAAATGTATGTAAATGTAAATAAATGTAGATATTGAAATTAATCTTCAAAATTTTATTAAGGTTATTCAGCCATAAGACCATTTTATATGATGAACTCCTGCTATCTTTAGCGCTGTTTAGCAGTATTTAACAAACAACTATTTGTGCGGTAAAAGTTTGCTAGTTAAGCTTTGTGTATAACTTAAATTTTACTGCTGGCTAACAGTACTATTATGTCATTAGCATAAAAGTAGCATAAAAGTTTTGTGTATACGGGCCCAAACATGTTGACCTTTAACCCTTTAGGGACTCAATTACGTTTCAGAGTGGCTAGAGAAGTTTGAATGTGCTAATTTATTTATTTATTAACCAGGTAATTATTTTTTTATACTTCCTAAGTTGGCATGACGAGTTTTTAAATCTGACGTTGAAATTGCTTGAAAATCATATATCTGCTCAAAATTAAATATTTTTTTTTTATAAAATCCATGTTACAGGGATGTAACAGTTTTTAATAAAATTGTTAAGATATATATATATTTTTTCAAAGAATTACTGTATTATGTGTTCAAAATGAGACTACAGTAAATGCATGCCAAAAGTATACTGTGATTTTATTTAACTGAATTCATTATTTTTGGGTATAATTTTAGGGTTTACTTAAGTAAGTACCGCAGTTAAGAAAAAAATACTTTAGTTAGGTTGGATTTTTGTTCTTCATGATTATTTTTATATACGTATTTCTTTTAGGCATAATATTGGGGTTTTTTCTTGTTACAAAGGTAAGCTGATATTAACATAGAGAATACAACTACAGTCGGCCCTTAACATACGCAGGGGTTAGGTAACAGAGATACCCGTGAATGTTAAGAATCCGCATATTTTTGCTGCCCCTAAAAACACCCCTGGCCCCTCATGTCCTTATTTACCGTATACAGTGGTCCCTCGGTTAACGAGCACAATCCGTTCTAGAAGGTTGCTCGTTAACCGAAACCATTGTTTCAATGGGTTTTTGGGTAATTGGTTCCAGCTCACCGAAAATTGCCTAAATTCAACAAAAAAGGTAGAAAAGTACACCTACTTTGAGGTGTGTATGTAGAAGGCTCCTGGATGATGATGATGGGAATTAGAATGGGGGTGGAGAAGGGAGAAGAGAAGGCATTGGGGTGGAAGAGAAGTCACCCCATGGCGCCATTTCACCCATGAAATTTTAGTTCTCTTGGTGCAAGTCAAGATTATTTTCTTTAAATGAACACTGCACTGCATTATATATTGTCAATATGTAAAATAAATTTCAAAATTCCCAAAAATTTGCTTGCAAAAACAGAAAAAAGGCATTTAGTTGAAGAGAGTCTCAAGCAAGATGTTACCTCCACTGAAAAGATACAAAGACTGATGCCTGTATGGTGTGTTGAGAGGCTGGATGGCATGCATAAAACTAGTTTCATTACCTTCAATTATGTTCAGTAATTGTTAAAATGAGTAAAAAAATTAATATTAAACTTTTAAAATTATTGAATAGTGTAAACTTCTTGATATTTGCTAAAATGGTAAGGAATTTAAGCCCTAGAACCGATTACTGTATTGGCGGACTAATACTACAGCTGGTGGACCGCCAAATGCAAGCGAAATCATGTTCAGGTTGGCTCGTAAGAAACTCGTTAATCGAGGGATTGCTCGTTAACCGAAGTTAAGAATCTTATGGAAGGCAAGTCGTTAACCGAAATCTCGTTAACCGAGGCGCTCGTTAACCGAGGGACCACTGTATACCTGTGTGTAGTTCGAGTTCTTAAGACCAAATTTTTTTGGCAAAAAATTTGGGGTCGATCTCTAAACGGGTAATAGTTTCGTTAGGTTGAAAAATATTTACCAGTAACTACCAGTAAACAATGGAAACGACGCACCACCAGCTGTGAGTGTCGGTACAGTTGCCAGGGCAGATCTCTTGCATCATCATAGCAAGCCCAAAGTAGCCAAATGCATGGTATGGTAGCACAGGACGATGTAAAACATAAAGTATTCAATTTTTAATGTTTATTTATAGATACAGTACATAAATTTTTGTTCATTACATTTGAAACATCAATCTTTGTTAATTAAATTTGAAACAAAAGAAAACTACGATTTCGTATTTCTATATACCGGGTATTTTCATTAAAATATTACATCACACGTATATTTTACCTTAATTGTGACTGAATGAATATATTCTCAGAAATAAATATGGAAATGTAATATTTTTGCTGAAATGACGTACGTATTACAGTGGAAAGTGGGATAAAATCATGACAAAAACAATGACTCGCTTTCTTTCATTGTTCAAAAGATTTTACCGTAATCGCTTTTCGAATGGTTTTCAGTTAAAAAACTGTTGTATTACAATAATATTCTATCCTAATTCACTTGAATAAATACTATGATACCATATTTCTGAATATTTTCATTAAAATCCATCAAAATCATTTTCCTTGTCATCGTCTTCAGCACCAAACAGCTCCTCCCAGTCTTCTTCTTGAACAGGGCTAGAGGGTATGTGTTTTTCGAATCGTTTTCAGTTAAAATACTATTACATCACATGTATATTTTACCTAAACTGCGCCTGAATGAATATATTCTCAGAAATAAATAGTAGTTTTGCTGAAACGTGATGTATTTCAATGTAAAATAGGATAAAATACATGACGAAAACAAGACTTTACCTAACCTTCCGATGTTCAAGAGATGTTACTCGTTTTTTTAATAGTTTTCGGTTAAAATACTGTTATATTACAATGATATTCTATTCATACTGTGCTTGATATAATACATTCATGGAAATGTAATATTTTTGCTGAAATGACGTACGTATTACAGTGGAAAGTGGGATATGTATGGTGGTGTATGTATGGTTAAAGCATTGAAGAAGTGAAGGGGTTAATATTTCTTGCCCTCTTTTGTGAAGAAAAAATATTCCTAAGTTCACCAGAGTTTGGAAATAAATGCATAGTACAATGTGTAATATTGATGTAGCAGTAACACACACTATCAATATCCACATAATAGAGTAGTCACTATCACAATTTTTCATATTTTATATTTGTACAGCATTCTTGTATTTATTCGTGTATCTTTAAAGCATTTATAAACCATACCGTATTTTATGTAAAACCACAATATAGTTCCATGCCACTCAGGTGTATATAACATTAAGAAATCAGCACACTGCTTGGTCCCAAGAGATTTGGATTTCAGAGTTTTGATATAAAAGAAAATTTAAATTAATGTATTAGTTCTTAATGAAATTTCTTCTCTTTTATGTTTTAAATTTTTGACATGGACTCTAATAAGTACTAGTGTAAATGATTTTATTTATATTAATGATTTTGGGGAACAAACAAAATTAAATATTTTAAACTGTTATAATGTAAATAAGAGGTTTAATTAAAACCATGCTTATATTTTTTTATTACAAATGAGGACTATTGGATAAATGAAAAATTTGCTGGATACAGGATTGTTATTGGATAGTTAGTACAATACTGTAACCCTCATTGGTGTAGAGCCCATACTCTACCTCTTTAAGGAAATAAACCCACTATACTGTATATGGTTTATTAAATTTTTATTTATTAGTACTACAGTATATTCCACACGTAATTTTTTTTATTTTGTGCTTGTGTTTCCTGAAGTAAGTTTAATATTTTTTTTTATATAGGAAATGTAATCACAATAAATATCAGTACTGTACTGTGCAATCATAAATTATATTGTCAGGACTTGTTGAATAAATGTTTAGCCACAATAGGTTGAATGGATTTTATCCCAACAGCTATTGTGTGCAGTAGATCCTCGGCTACTGAAACTTACACCAAAAGATGATGCAATATATACTGCCTTCAGAAATGAATTTCCTGATTTTAATGTGAAGAAGTTGGAGGAAAAGGATCTCAAAAGTGCAGAAGCAAAAGAGGTAAGATAAATTTTTTAATTTATTAACTATTCACAAGTAGGCAGTCCCCACTTACGAACATATTTGGTTCCAGAGGTCTGCTCGTACAGGCACCTATACCCCATAAACCAACATTCCATTAACCGCCGCTTCGTTTAACCGACGATTACATCTTGGGGAAATACCTCGCAAGTTTTGTTGATACCCCATTGACCCGATGATTGGGGGAAGAGCGGCAGAGCTGTTCTGAATTTGGCAGGCAGTGGCATGGTGCAAATTCTTGCCACGAGAGGGCTCTGAGCGCTGCCTCCGACTCATTCACGCCTCTCTGCACTTCTTTACACCTACTATGTATCTCCAACTTCATGTTTTTTCATTACAGCTAGACCCCGACTTACGACTACGTGGACTTACGACCGCCGCAGATTTTTTATTATTTATTTATTTTTTTTATTTTTTTTTATTTTTTATTTTTTTTCAAATGACACGCATTTTCTATACCGAAACGTTTCCAGTTAATGTAGTCTCCATGTATAATTAGAAAATTATGGGGGCCCCATGTGCATTCAGCTGACTACATTAAAGGTTAAGTGCTCAATCACACTGTATCCATTCCTTATTATTTATTACTTTCACTGTACTGTATCCATTCCTCATTATTCATTACTTTTACTGTACTGTATTTCATTGTAGATTTTTTATTAAAAAAAAATTTTTTTTTTATCTATGTCGGACTTACGACCATATCGGACTTACGACCTGGATTTGGGTCCCTAACCCCGTCGTAAGTCGGGGTCTAGCTGTATTTCTGACTTCATGTGTTATGCAATCATGCCTAAAGGCCCCTGTGATGGTTCCTCTTGTGTTGCACCTAAAAGGGGCAACTTGATGTGATGTGATAAGGCGTAATAATAATGGTGATGGACCAACAAAGATTGGTAGAGACCTGAACTTGCCACCCTAAATCAGTTCTACCATCCTAAACACAGGTAAGTAACAGTCTCAATTTAGGCTTTACATTCTTTACTTAATGCTCATTGTGCTTGCTTTATATGTCTGCTTTATTTTCTTGCTTGACAGTGTGCACCACAGAGATATATCAAGGGTAGATGGGAGTTTTTTGGGGGTGGCTGGTCTCTAACCTCCCGAATTTGTTTTATTCTTATAGGATTAATTGCTTTTATAATCGTTGATCCGCTAACCAACGACTTTTCACAGTCCCTATATGTATCGGTTATTGGGGTATACCTGTAAGTCCATTTGTTCATAAGTCTAAATTCATCTTTATTGCTTGCAAACAATGTGTTAAACATGAAAAGTACCTTATGTACAGCACACCCACAGCACAGTGTCGATCATACGGTGTTGATTTTGGTCCTCCACCCACAAACACAAAATTTTTTTCATTCCATCATGCAATTTTCCTCTTTTCTTACTTATGATGGTCAATTGCATAGCCACAGAATGTTTTTATATGCTCCACAAATCTTTCTTTGTCCTTTAAAATTGTACCAGCAGCCGAAAGATTCAATCCTAAATCTCGAGCCAAATTTGTCATCTTTTCACCTTTTTCCGCCTGCTTTATTATTGCCACTTTCGTTTCTATTGGTGGTGGTTGTGGTGTGAAGCCTGCTCAGTTGTCAGAAGTGGCTGGAGGAAGATTAGGGAGCTGCTGTCTTTATTGACAGCAAGAGGCCTTTCCTCTGTATGAAAGCTAGTGTGAGAAGTGTACTGTTGTGTGACAGTTAAAGAACGACATAAGTTGACTTCAGTGAGGTGAAAGGAAAAAGGTGAGGTGGATGTGTAATGTGACACTAAAACACAGGAGGCCCTGTTCAGAGCTAAGAGGGCAAATAGGTATTGAGAGTACAGTAATATTTCCGTTAGCCGGAATCCCTCAAACCTGGAACTCTCTGATGGCCGGGATTGAAATTTTCTTGAAAAATCATTCCCAAAGCCGGAAAATTACGGCTTTGGGAACGATTTTCCACGGGGCACGTTTTCCGGAAAATTCTGATAAAATTTTCCCGTTACCCGGAAAATTCCGGGGATGGGGGATATTTATCCGGGTTCGAGGGATGATATAATGGACAATTTCTGGAACTTCTGAGAACATTTTCCGTTACCTTTAAAATTCCGGGGATGTGGGATTTTTATCCAGCTTTGAGCGAGTCTTCTCATTACTCGGAAATCTCTCATTCCCGGAAGTGCTCTGCACCGATTGTTCCGGCTAATGGGGATATCACTGTATTGGTGAAGTTCTGCATTGAGACAAGTTAAGATGGTTTGAGCATGCGGAGAGATTGGATGTGAGCAATTGGATCAAGAGGTGCATGAGCTTACCGGTAAATGTGGAAGGGAGGGGAGCCAGGGGTTAGGCCAAGATTGACACAGGAATAAGTAAGAAATAACATTAAAGTTAAGATCATGACAAGAGACTGTAAGAGACTATGCAGCATGGAGAGCTGCCATCAGTTAACTGCAGCTGACCAATGCAAGCATGGAAAATGGCTGTAAAATGTTTATTAGCTGGAAAGGAAATGTGAATGTGGTAGCATTTAAAGCAACAGTTACATACTGTACCACTATCTCAAGATAAACCCCATTGTTGTTGCATTCCCAAGCTGTAGTGCAGTACCTGCCTACCTACCATCAGTGTGTGTTCTGTGATGCTAGAATACCAAGTTCTCTCATAGGCATACCATCCTTGTTATGTCTTTAACATGAATGATTTGAAAATGCAGTGTTGACTATTCCTTGTGACATGCGACAGGATTCCAAATCATGACATTACTGAACATTGCCACATGTGTCAGTTTCATTATTTGAAATGGCTAAACTTAGCCAGTCATTCAGTTCCTTCTATCAGGTAGACATTTACCCCTCCTCCTCCTCCCTCCCAGTCTATCTGCTTCTCCCCAACATATAAGGGTTCAATTATCAACAATGGAGCAAAGTGAAAAGGTGATGCACTCGGTCAGCCCCAAAAATGTAATTGTATGGAGCACGAAATTTTACTGTCATTTTTTTTTTCACACTAACCATATAACATCCTTTGAGAAGATCATTTTGGTGAGGAAGTATGGTTTTCCCAGGCTGTTTAGGATATCATCAACCTGAGGCAGAGGATAGGAGTCTGTAATCCGTGCACATCCTTTAGAAATTGGAATCTGCACCAGACTCAGCAGCTTATGTGCCATCCCGAGAACAACAGACGACACACTGCCACCCTCACTTAACAATCATAAACGAACAAACCAAAAATATTAGTTACAGTATTAAATCATTTCCATTAAGCTTTCCATTATCTTCACTTCACTTTTCACGTCACTAGCAACCCATTTACACTCACCTTAGAAGTCGTAATCTGCAGCAGAGTCGGCTGCTCTCTCGTCACTCACTCAGAAAGACTGAGTGGGCGAGCGTAAATGCATGAGTGAGCAGCCAAGGTGGTGCCTCTGGTGAGCAAATAACGCATTTGTGTGCCATGGCGGTACATTCAAAATATTTCCTGCCCAATTTCCTTCACGAAATAAAATTTTTTATTGCTATATACTGTATAGGAAAATTTGTATAATTTTGATAGCGGCGATATAAAAAAATCTTTATAAAAAGTCGCGATATATCCCAACCCTACTGTACTTTCACCCCATTCATTTCTGTCTCCAAACAATATTTCCTAATCATGGATTTGATTGTCTAATGAAATCTCTCAAGCATGCCTTGTGACTGGATGATGCGCATTTATGCATTACTCCCTATTGGTTCATTACAGATTGCACCATTTTGGGAATCCCATATTAGCCAGCAATGGTTTTAAATTAGACAAATTTAGATTTAGGCATGAGATAGGTAAACACTGGTTTGGAAATATAATGGATGAAAACACTGGTTTGGAAATATAATGGATGAGTGGAACAAGTTACCAAACATCATTAACACAAACACTTCAAATATTGGTTGGACAGATACCCGGTATATGAGTGATAGGGGTTGAGTGTAAATGGGGCTGCCTAGTATGAGCCAATAGGCCTGCTGCAGTTTCCTCCATATTTATGTTCTTATTCCCCTCTTGAAACATCACCAGCATCAGCAGTGATGCCTTAAGGGGAAATCCTAGATGCAGTTCAGGTGATGTGAGTGTAACCTTACTCCCTCTCCGATTATCTCATTCTTTGGAACGGTTTGTCAAACTTATCACTCGGGTAGGGAAAGTGACAACTACAGTTAGAAGCTGGTGGGCCATGCAGGTCAACACTGGCAGTGAGATGACATAATCGACAGGTCACATATTTGACCGATGCATAATGATACCTTTGCATTTGCATCGGCCTGGATCCGGTCCTGGTAAAGTAATATTATGCAGATTCACTAGAATTAGCGCAATTTTATCATACCTGTTTATTTTCAGAAATGGAGACCATTTTGTTTGGCATTTGAGAAGGAAATTGAAGACTACAGCTTTGCAACCCTCGTACGCATAGACGGTGAGGATGAATATTCAGAATCCAACACAATCCTCGTCACTCGCATACAGTTCTTCTGTATTGAGATAACTCGCAATAGGGAGGGGTTAAACGACGCCATCCGAACAAAGTTCAAACCCAAGCCCCGCACCAAGAAGGGTCAGCAATAGCACTGGGATATTATGTAAATTAATTATAATGTAAGGATATATCAAAGCCATGTTAGGTGTTAATATGCATTGTGTAAGCCTTTTGGTTTATGTGACTTGACTACCTATAATCATAAGCTCCTCATTCTTTAAAGGATCTCATATGGAAGAAAAGTGATACAATGTTTGGGTTTTTTTAAATGTTGAATTAATGTGTATATACATATACAGTATTTCACTCTGATATCCTCTTAAAAAGGCCTTAGATATTACATTTACCTATGTATACTGAAGTCGTCATAATCTTATAATCTTTGTCTATGCAGTGGTTGTGTGCGTATATACATATAAATTGTATGAGAAGAAACCTAATGGTGCTGGTATAAAGGACACCTACAGCAGTAAATATTCATTTAGGCTTCAGATTGCAGCAGTTTGAGGAATAAAGTACAGTACACTTTTCCTCTTTAAATTGATAACCTTGAATATAAGTACTGTACTTTCTTTTGCATTTCTCGTATGGATATATAAAAATATATAATAGTAACTAGAGAAAGATAAGTTGTAATATTTGATTCATTAAGTTTCTCTTCTTTGAAAAGTAGTACCTTTACAGTATATACAGTAAGTAAAAATTACATACAAGATATACCTGTACAGCACTGTACTTTGCAACACTTAACCTTGGAAACATGCATGCCTTTTAAGGGGTTGATGTTAAACAAGCATAAATCATTGGTTATGCAAGAATTGGCTCTTAAGTCAGTCTGTCAGTTTTTCACTCAGGGTTACAATCGATAGAAGTTTTTGATGCAGCTAAAAATTGGGTTCAATTGTGACCAGATTGGAATAAGGGTGTAAAATTAATCTTTGCATGGTGTCCCCAGTGTTTTGTGCTACCTGTTCAATAAAAAATTAATTGTTATAAACACTGAATTTATCACTATCTGTAGAAACTGACAAAGATGAAAAAGTATTTGGAGTGTGGAAAATATACTGATCCAATAATGACTGAAATAAGACATGTGAAGATCTTCACTTCAGAGTAGACTTGAGATGATGCACATATTTATGACTGAATATATAAAGAATATATACAGTAGAACCTCACTATTAAAAAATGTTTATTAACCAAATGCTCTGGAAAATGTTCCAGTTTATTTAAGGGGAAACTATTCATTATGAAACGTGGAAAATATTTATCTCTCACTAAGAAGAAAAGATGGTAAAACACACATCAGCCTGCAGCTTGTACCCTACTTGACCCTCTGAGGCCACCAACAGTCCCACCCCATCCCTCCCCAGTACCATTCACTACTTTCAGTTTGGCGCCTGTTGTGTCTTGTCCACACATTATGTGATTGTAACCTCACTACTTGTCCAAGCTCAACCTTGGAGGTTATGTCTTCTGTCATTTGTCTGAACTGATTATAAAATGGTTCACTTATGCAAGAATTGTTGAGGAGGATCTTATAATAATTTCTGTAACCACTAATTTATCCCACCATTTGGTATTCAAATGAAAAGATCACTGTTTTAAGACTGTGCAGTACTGCTCAGTTGTTATTATGTTTGAATACTGTAGACTACCTTACAATTACCATGTAATGCAGTAAATAGCAATCATGCAGCTGCTATTTCCATGTCTATCACCATTCATATGTGAATGCATTTACAGTTCTGTGGCAACAAAGCGGTAATGCTGATAGTAGTTCATGGCGTCGGAATGTGGATGTATATATGTTAGGAGATCAGAATATGTTTCTCCTAATATTGTTTAATGCGGGCCAACATCTTATGGAATGCAATACAGTACAGTATATGATCACTGGAAGACGTGCTCCGAAATATCAGTGTAAGGTGACAAAATAATTGGTTGGGAAAGTGGATTTGAAACCCATGGGTAGTTTAGTTCCTTCATAATACAGTACACTATAGTATTTGCAGCGTGAACTTTTGTGGGATTTTTATTTTATTTTTTTATTTTTTCAGTCCAGTGTGGCAAAGAACTTCCAATTAAAAAATAATAACTTGATATCCTCTACAACAGCCTTATGTAGCCCCTTATTACTGGGGAGAATATAAGAATGGTGGGCTGTTGTAAAGGTAGGGTGTGCACATGTATAAAGAAAATTTCAGTGCATTTACTTACTGCTGGAATTATTTCTATGTAGACTGCAATTTGTATCCTTGAGAACTTTGCTGACAATGTTATTCTCATCCTCCTCATGATAGCTGATGAGGCAACAGCTAAGGTAGGCCTGTTGTGACAACCTTGATTTTAAGGAAATCTAATAATTCCTCCACCTGAAATGTTTTTGTTGCAGCTACTGAATAGCCTTTGGCAGTCCATTCCTGCTGGTTTCATAATTACTGAATGAAACTTCATACATTTCAGTTTCATTTATAGATGATGAGTTGTGAACAGGAACCAAAGTCCATGCATCAATAATCAAAAGTCTAATGGGACTTTTTCATGTCTGCTCGGTACCTTTCCAACCACTGTACAGTTGATAACTCCTTGAAACTTAATACACAGGTGTATCATCTCTAGGTACAAAACTACAGTATAGTTTTATCACGGATCATCAAAATTTTTGAAGTGATAAAGGTTGAATGATAACCATTTGCTCTCAAAATTTCACTTTGTTCATTTAGATGAGTTTACTGTGATTCATTAATATTTTGTTTTATTCTTCTCGACATTGATATTTTCTAACTCTCCTTCTGTTAGTGTACTCTTACTTTGGTATCCCACAGCCTTTCCATACATTCATTAGATACAGTGCATATGAGTAGATTATCTGACTTTCAACAAGTAAGAACCATGATAAGGGACGAGACATGAAGCTTTCAACAGAGGACCAACATTGCTATTCTTTCTTTGAACAAATGCCACCATTGGTGAGGAAGCATTACTATTGATCGCGTTCAGATACAGGTTTCATTTCTCAACAAATTTTGACCACATTAACCTGGGTCAACATGGTAGAAGCTGTCAGGTGGACACCAACCTTCAAGGAAGTACCGGTAAGTACAGCACTGTTTTAGGTTAAGTTTCTCATTAGGGTACATGTCATATTGGTATTGGAACATTAAAGATTGTAATATATTATGTAACTGTTTGAAATAAATTACTCAATAATTACAGGTTCATGCCAGGCACTGGATCATCTTTAATATTATCAGAATTGATTGGAATTTTATTTCCTCAGTTCAGAAGGCCCATTGAAGACCCCAGCCAGCAAAAATATCTAACATTAGCAAACGTAAGTTCCTGTAACTGTCTCAGTTTATTATATTTTCTACCTTATAAGACGCACTTCTTCAAGAATTCATTCTGCCTAGAAAATGCTGCAATTTTTCCTTCTGTCATCTTTTCCCACCAAAGAGCTAGTTTTCATTTTAAGCGAGGTCTTCTCACCAATATCAACCTTGGTCCGGTTTCGCCCCTGCTTATCAGTGCTCAGCTCATTTAAGTGCTGGAAAATATCACTAAAATAAGTAAACTTCAGCAGCGAAACTTCATCCTTGAAGCGGTCATCCAAGGGGTGATTCTTCTCTCTCAGAAAACGTTCAATTTCCATTCTCAGTAATATGACACATGACAGGATTTTCCGATGAGAGAACTATTGGACTTGTGAGTGATAGAGCAAGAGCTGGTACAGTACTTGGATCCCATTTCTTTACACATAACCTGGAACAGTCGAGAATTCAATGCCTTTAATTGATGAAATTCACAATTTGAATAGTGTCTTGTAGAAATGAGTGAAGCTCTGGCTAAATCTCTTCCATTGCCAGATTCTCTTGATGAAGGAAGCAGTGAATAATGGCAACATGGATGACCTCTCTTAACACTCCTACAAAACCCTACTCGGCTTCCCATCATGGCTGGAGTGCCAGCAGTACAAACAGCACAGCAATCTACCCTGTGAAGATTATGTTGCAGAAAGAAATCATTGACCATTTCACATATGTCTTGGCCACTTTTGGTGGTCCAAAATGGCTTACAAAACAGAAAATCTTCCACAATCAGCCATATTTTTTAAACATTCGGGTTACTTATTATAATCCCGACAGTGCCCTCAGTGCCGTAATTAATTTTTTTAAACCAAGTGTATGTGAATTGGTTTGGGTTACTATTTAGTAATCTGAATTGTTATTGGAACATTTCAAGATAAGCTTTGTGTGTGGGTAGGCACCTGAAGACTTATCCCAAAAGTTCCAACTTGTTATATATGAATAGATAAAGTCTTCGGAATACAATACAGCTCCTCCCCGACTTACGACCACCCAGACATACAACCGCCTCAGTCGTACCCAAATTTTGTCAAATTACGTATTTTCGAGTCCCAACGTCAGTGATTGCGCTGTGTACTGACAAAATTTTCGTTTGTAATTCACTTTACAATGGCTGGCAAGCTTAAAAGTGAGTGTTTTGTGGTGCTGAGAAGAAAAAGAGACACCCATTTTAGATTTTCTATGTATTATACAGTAGAAGTCCAAAAATCCGGACTGCTTGGGGATTGGGTCGGTCCGGATTTTCGGATTTTCCGGATTCTCAGGCAGTACTTTTAAAATTAAAATTTAAGGAGGAATAAAGAAGAGATGAACAGGTACATTTTGATAGTTTATTCATTAGCAAATAAAGCATGCTTCATTTATCAAAACGAGCAGTTTTAAAGAAATATTAAGTGAACACTAGACAAAAATGTAAACAAACTGTCTAATACCATGACGAGTCTTGAAATTCCTAAGCCATCCATCACTAAATGCGCACTCTGATTCAATGTTCATTTGCTCCTTAAAAGACTTTGCTTTGGCAATAAGTATCGGCCCAGAAATTGCCATACCTTCTGATCGTTTTAACAAAAACCATTCGTGCAACACTTTATCAAGATTTTCTAATTTGGGCCAATGTAAACTTTTTCTTTCAGTAATTTTAATGTAAGGCTCAGAAGAAGCTGTGAATTCTAGAATTTTATTCTTTGCCTTTTTTATGTCATAAATTGTAGACTTTCCAATGTTGTAAGTTTCCATTAGAACAGCATTGCTCACATTACATTCTAGTTTCTTAATTATTTCAAGTTTGTCACTCAATTTCAATGTGTTCTTCTTTCTCTTCACACAACAAAGTTTATCTACTTTAGGGGCCATTATTATGGGCTTGTACTCTGTACATGGAAAGAGTAGGACTCAAAATTACATACGTTGTCACAGTTTGATTGCTTGTTTTAAAGTGGCGATCGTGTGGTCGTTTGTTGTCGCTGTGCAGCTGTGGCATTCACACATGCACACATACACACAAAAGATTTATAGTGCCTCAAATTTTACATTTCAGTTCAAGCTAATTACAAAACTAACAAAATTAGCTACCTATAATTTACAATTACTTTTATTATTAGAATTATGTAAATTAATTTTTAAAGCAACTCCATTCATTCACATAACCCACAAAAGCCCGCTAAATTTAAAAAGTTTGAGTTTTCGAAAAGTCCGGATTCTCGGGTGGTCCGGATTCCTGGCATCCGGATTTTTGGACTTTTACTGTATAAGCATTTCCGACTTATGACCATTTCGATTTATGACCTGGATTTGGGTCCCTAACCCCATCGTAAGTCGGGGAGGAGCTTTATAATCCTTGGAAAGGACTAGTACAAAGTAGTATGAACACTCTCCTGAGTAATATCCTCTTGAGATGTTTATAAACGTCTATTAAGTCACCCCATGACCGCCTGTAGTATAAGCTAGGATGTAGCAGGCATTCTCATGTCTCATTCTCATTTCTCTGGGTAACTGAGGAGCCATAGTGCAGGCACCAATCAACTGACGTTTTCTAGCTTATCTCGGGGACGAGTACTCTAAATGGGGAAGCACCTCATTCCTGAGGATAGTTATGAGGGATGGACTGTCCCATTGGGACATAGATACACCTTCTTATTGTTGGTATGACCGAGATACATCCTCTTACATTTCTTAACTTTGAATCTAAACAGACATTCCTTTGACCACTTCTAAAGCTGACAGAGATCTCTAACATTTCACAGTCTGTTTGATTCCTAATTTCCCTGAGCAACTTCGTGTCGTCCCCAAATGTTAGTATGGAGGAGCATTTTGTATATCATGCTGCCCTGTGGTACACTTATTCCTTTGTGATTATTTGTTCCTTTCTTTATTATCTTATATCTAAGTTAGTTTCAGGCCAGTCAGGTGTGGCAAATGTTTAAGCACTAAGCAAATAGATACTAAATTAACAATATAATCACTTAGTCTAATGACTATAATCTATTTCAGTCATGTCAAAGTTTATATTTTATTTCATGTATTCTTTTAGCCTATAAAACTTCATTGGCCATACCACAGTGAAAATGCATATTTCCCAATTTTTGTAGGCCCTGGGCACAGTGCCCACTGTCTCTTTTTGATAATCCCGCCCTGTCCTAGAGTTTAGAATCCTTGGTACATGTTTGGTGGATGTTGATGAAACAATCAAATTGAGGAATAAAAAATTATCAGTGACAAGGCAACTTCCACTTGTGTGATAAGAAATGATAAAAGGTAAGATGGCATATCAGTTCTACCTTTAACGTCCTACTTGGTACTATAAAACGAGTGTATCTAAAGTTAAGTTTCAAGTGTTCTCAGACATCATATGGTGAGTTTGTCAAAATTTGGATGTTGTCACTGTTTGCCGAGTGAAACAACTGCAAAATTATTTGTAGATTGAAACTTGAACAGGTGAGCTAGGCATCTGTTAGTGTGGACGTTTGTTGTCAAAACTGCAAGAGGGAATCCCACCTAACTTAACATAACCTGTCCTAGAAAAGTAAGGATTAAATTATCTCGAGTTTGTGGGATTTTGTTCACTTTATTGGTGGTGGAATTTTATATACAGTACGTAGTTGGAAATGTATTGCGGCATTTTGTCCACAGGAGGCTTATGTAGTGGGATTTTGTCCAGAGGGGATTTCCTGGTGTGATTCTGTCCATTGAAACATATCAAATCCATGACACATTGCATACACTTGGGACTGATAAGTAAAGGGAGTGTGATGGCCGTCAATCAGTTTTGCAAGCAGTTGAACAAGTATAGTCATTTGCTGACCCATCTTTATTTTCTTTTAATACTTTATTAAATACTTTTATGTGTGTCTAGCAATATTATTATTTTTTTCTTGGTCTGTCTACCATATGTTGAACCCTTGAAGAAAACTATGTGAATGTTGGGATCACCTGAAGATTAACCCTCCTAGCTTATTTAATGTCATGATTAAACACTGTAACACTACCTGTGGGGTTAGATTAGTTAGGTTAGGTTAAATTAAGTTAGATTTGGCGAGATTAAGTTAGGTTAAGTTATGTCAAGTTAAGTTACGTCAAGTTAAATTACATTACTCTAGCGTTATGGTAATTTATCTTCTGATGAAATAAGATGTGGCTCGTCTTCAGATGATTTGAAAGTTGGTAGGAGAACTGAAGGAAGTGATTAGGAAATTCTTAATATTCAGGTCATAGGGGGAGGGGGGGGAGTTAACGTCTTGTGATCTTTATCTACACAGTAATTGATTTACCTTATCCACGTTATCATTGTGGACCTTGAGAAAAATATATTTTCTCGAGCACAGTTGTGGATTTTTGGGTTTATTGCAACAGCACTATATGTATTCAATTATCTATAGGGAAGGCTATACATAGAAAGTCTCCCTATCAGAGCATGTATAAGGATGTGCTGAAAACAAGCCCATGTGAAAGAAGTCAACTCATCAATTTAGAAGTCAAGAGCCTGACCTCATGGCCATGTTTAGAGCAAGTGCTTACTTTAATACAATATATGATGATTACATTATAATAAATGAATAATAAGTGTAAGTTAATCTGGTTATTGTTATATGATATAAAACTACTATTCCAAGTGCAATTAGATTTATAAAGTTAACAGTCTTCTTTCGGTGAAAACATTTATCATTCAGCTTAGAGTAAAGTGTGCACATTTAAGTGTCATATGTCCCAGTGCTCTTCTATATGTAAGTTTTTGTTTGCCATTATCCCCTGTAGGTGTGTGTGAGTAGCTAAGTACTGTGACACATCAAGTGAGTGTTACGAGAAGCTGTGATACTGATGGAGATGCAGGACAGCTGTGTGCCACCAGGGTTGGAGTACCTGGTCGAGCTTGACCAGGTACTCATACATCAACTCATCGAGGTGTTTGAATGTAAGTACAACAACCTTTGTCCCATAAGCCTGAGGGGCTGTTAGGGACAAAGCAAATACAACACACAGATGACTATTTGATGGATGGGAGGGAAACAGGAAAGAGCTGAAATTTTATATTTCTCTAATGTTTCTGGCAACACAGAACCCATCTTTAGAGAGAATACATCAAGTGGAGGAAGTTCAAAGACTTACTGTATGTACCCCTGGTGCATCTCACCTCTCTGGGCACTGCCTTCATTTCCCAAAGTTTCAATTTAGGTACCTGTTCACAGTTGGGTGTATTGGGGATGCTACTGCTTGCATGAACCAGTGTTTCTAAAAGACAGGGCAGTGAATCCTGTATGTACTTGGCTATTGTAGAGTGAAAATTCACCTGGGTGGGTTGATCTGTATCTCCACAACCTAAGTAAATTTTTGTGTACAGTAAGATCTCACATTTCGCGCGATTTCAATTTGCGTTTTTGAATTTTGCGAGCACTACCTAATGTAACCAAGTCTTATATTTGGCGTGAATTTTACGAGATCCAGCAAGCTGAATGCTGGCCACCGTCTTGAATGACGTCACAGCCCTCATACGAGTTAGTCATTTCTGCTACAACACGTGTTTTGTCAACGCGATTGATGAATAGGGGAACGCTGTTTATAAAACACTAACTTTTGCATACAAATGTTGGCTATAACACAATTCCATCCTCAACGTTTTAAGAGTGGCGCGGGGTTATGCAATGTTTACAGTTCATGTTCGACATCACATATTCAATTGATTTGTGCCTTTTGTTTTTTGAGAGGTACTCTGTAATTTTTTTTTTTTTTTTCAAATTTATCTGTTACCCATAAATACTGCATGAAAAGAATAAGTAAAAAGAATGTTTCGCAGTGAGGACTAATAACGGTTTACACCAGCGCTCTCTGTTTACATCACGTGATCAGTTGAATCGCACGGTTTTTGTCTATTGCTCAGTGATTTTCGCTGTTTTCTCCAATTTTGTAGTGTTAGCGATGAATATGGAAAGATGAGGTAAGAAGAATGTTTCCAAGAAGCGTTGTGGTGATTGAATTGCCGGTGGTGAACATAAAAGAGGTTTACAAGAACGCAACTATCGCGTTGTAACCCGCACCATCCTAGCGACCGCCTTGGCTGCTATTGTCTGCTTTTTTGGATGGTGCTACCACCTGTCGAGTCAAGATAATGGCCTCTACCTCTACTGGGGGTCCTACTAGTGCTGGTGGGGGTGGGACAGACCCACCTAAGCGGCCAAATAAGGAAAAGGAGAAGCGGAACTATCCTCCCTTGAATTTAACTAAAACAGATTCAGCTTTGATGCATGGCATTTGGCTCTTATGGTTTAGGCATCCAGCTAAGCAGTTTTCTCTCCAAATTTAACTCATATTTTGTCCCACTCCTCTTGCTTCCTCGGCCAAGAGGCATTTATTTTTTATCGTGCCAAGGATAATGTGTGCGCGCCGCCCCTCACTGCATCCTGTGGCACACTGTCTCACACTCCAGGATATCCACTCACCCCCTCCTGTGCCGACGATGCCTCTTGCCTGTTCACTCACCCCCTCCCGTTCTTACATGTGTCCTCATCTACTTAACCTGTGTTTTATTAAGGCTCCCCCTCTGTCCCTCGCCCCTGCCTTACCTACCACGTCTCGAGCAGCCCTCCCCTTCCCTCCTCTGGCCACTTCCCGTGCCGAGTATGCTAACAGGGGGACCCCGGTTGATCGTATGTGCTGGGTGAACGCCCCGACAGGTGTACCTCTTGGATGAATTAAGTGAATACTTGTAAGGGATGAATAACTGAGTGCATCCAGTCCCCCAGCCCTGTAGAAGGTGTGGAAAAATGAACGAGATTACCCATCGCCATTTTAGAAAACAGGTGTCATCGTCTTTTGGAAAAAATTAAACATGTCCTACTCAAGTTTAAGTCTTATACTTGCAATATGACTTACGCCAAAATTCTCGAGCCCTTCTTGCTGCAACCTTCCCAAGGATTGAAACTTCTCGTGTCTTATAATTAATGGAATATTAATCAACACAGTGCACTACTTTGGATACTAGGTAATGGTCAGTGTCAAGCCCTAACTTCCCTAAATTAGGCAGCACATTAAAAGAAAAAAAAGAGGTGCCTGGGAACTCAACGATTCGTGTTTTCAACCAAGCTATTTCTTAGGTGTTGCTAAGAAGAGTTCCAGAATTAAGGCAAGTTAGTGTGACCATAAAGGATTACTCTGCAAGCAAGACGAGTGGAGGCAGCAGCAGCAGCAGCAGCAGCAGCATTATTAGCAGGTCCTAGCTGCAACAGTTGCAGTTTAAGGACAGACAATCACTGTGCTAAGTTGTGCCATACGGTCCCATACACTTCATCGCTCCTCACCTATTATTTAGTCTCACTCTAATTCCCAATATTTGTTATACTCCCAGATATATTTTTAGAATCGTAGCTGTGTTGGATAACTATATAAATAATAAAAAATGAAAATATTTCACAAGGCTTGATAAAAGTTTACTCCAGAGGTTAGACCGAACCAATTTCATACCGCCACACAGAGGTTCTTGTTGTGAAGGTCGTATCAATTGTACGCACATTTTACATCTTTCAATAAAAATTGAAATGTGGCAGTTTATAAGGGAGTTAAGTTTGCCAAGTACTCGATCTAGGATAAGCAGCGTGTGATTAAGTTACTTGTGGAAGGCCTAAAAACTAGTTTCCGGAAAACACAATCAGGTCAATAAAGGCAGAATTTGTATCATTTGGAGATTATAACTGGGAAAATTAGAGGTCGATGTAGAGTGGCCAGTCTATATTGTTATTTTTCCCATTAGTTTATGTATTTGCATTTGGCGAATTTGAATTTGGCGCAATTTTTCCAGTCTATATTACTTACAATATACAAGATCTTACTGTACAGTGTTTATGGGTTTACCTTATCTTAAAAGTTTACAGATGACATAGCATTAGTGATTTCCTGCCCCAACCCTCCACCACACACCCAACTTACTCCCCCTCCCTGCCATGATTATAACAGGATTACTGTACTGTACTTAAAAACCATCCATCTTAGAGTACAGAGTAATGAAATTCTGTAAGCTTTTTTTTTTTTTTTGCTGTTGATAATCGAATTTTCTGATAACACTGATAAGCTTAATTACTCCACCTGTGACAGTAATAATCCCTCAGTGTGTGTGTACAAATCCCCCACCTGGCACCTTGACTATCTTACCTCATACAATAATACTTTACTCACCATCAGACACCAGTTTATACCATCAAATACACAAATAAACACACTGAAATTTTTTTTTGTCACCACATGTACTAATGATAATGCTAATACTACAGTACTACACAACTACTACAACTAATAATAATAATAATAAAGAAAACAACAACAATAATTTATGGCTTGTTTTGGGGAATTAGCTACATCTATCACTGGATGCAAAAGTACAATTACAGTACAGTATTATGAAGGTATAACGAGTAAGCCAGTACTGTACAACATAAAAACTTGTTGAACATATGGCTGATACGGATATCTGATAGAATTTTTTATCAAGAGCAGCCTTTAGAAGTTACCTTGAATCTAGGCACAATCACATGACTAAAATATTGTACCATGCAAGTAGGATACTGAAACCACATAATTAAGATACTGAACCACATAACTAAGATACTGAACCACATAACTAAGATACTGAACCACATAACTAAGATACTGAAACCACTTATCTAAGATACTGAAACCACATAATTAGGATATTGAACCACATACAGGTACTAAGATACTGAACCACATAACTAAGATACTGAAACCACATAACTAAAATAATGAAACCACTTATCAAGATACTGAAACCACATAATTAAGATATTGAACCACATACTAAGATACTGAACCACATAACTAAAATAATGAAACCACTTATCTAAGATACCGAACCACATGATTAAGATCTTGAACCACATAACTAATTGAAATTGAACTGCTTAACTACAATAATGAACCACTTAAATAAAATAATGTACCTGTACTGTATTATTTATCTCGTATTCAGTATTGACTGGCTGGGAGATGAGGAACAAGTACGTGCTGAAGAATAACATGGGCCAGCAGTTCTTATTCGCCAAGGAGCAAAGTACCTTTTGCTCTCGTTGGTGTTGTGGCAACATCCGTGCCTTCCAGATGGGCATCAATGATAACAATGAACAAGAGGTGTTGCGCTTGGACAGACCCCTCAACTGTGCTGGATGTTGCACCCCTTGCTGTTTGCAGGTGAGAACAAGTGTTTAAAGGTATTGTAACGGCTCATGGCCTGACTAGGGTGAGGTCGGGCTTTGAATGAGATTCGTCCAGTATTACACGACAATGGTTTATTCGTTCATACCTGGAAATACTGTACATGTCCCACTATTAGCTGTAAATACCAAACACACAAACAGTAGCCATCACACCTCATATTTATCTCATATCTAATAATAATAGCAATCAAGTGATTAACTTCTCAAGTTGGCTGAATACAATTGCTCAAACTCACTTGTGACGGATCTGTTGTTATGACATGCGTAATAACAGTAGCAGACGATTTTGGGTGGGTTATCACCGTACACTAAACTCTGTAGCTGGGTCACTGACACACAGTTGATAGATATTGGCTAGAAGTCTTCTCCGGACACAAAACCAGACCACCTCGTGTGCTCACTGCATCTCACACACTGTCATCCTATGCCTCATCTGCTCACTGTCCTCACACACTGTCATCCTGTAGCTAAAACCCACATCTGGCCACCACATCTCATTCTCTTATCGAGTAGCTATGGACTTGTCGCTGATGCTTCAAAATACAACCCTCATCTCTCTCCCTCTCCTCCTACTGCATCTCATGTCCCATAAGATGCAGTAAAAGGTATACATACAGTAGATGCGTACATGTGTTCACAGAAGCATACAGAAATTTACAGGAGCACAGTTGTTTATACAGTGGTCCCTCGATTAACGAACAGTCCAATTAACAAAATTTTGGTTAATGAATTAGCTCCCATAAGGGTTTTCAATTCCATTAACGAACAAAACTTCGATTAACGAAAGCCTTACGAGAAACACGCTTTGTTGTGCGCATCAGCTGATCGGTTAGTCTGCCAATACAGCAATTGGTTCTATGTTTACATTCGTTTCCAGTGGAGCAAATATCAAGAAATTTGTGCTCTTGAATATTTTTGCATTTTTTATATTAATATTATTGATCATTCTAATTTAGTTAACATATTAATAATATATACAGTACAGGGAACAGTTTTAGTGTGCCAATCAGCTGATCGAATCACCCACCAACGCTTTTCAGTTGTTTACAGTGGAGTGAACATCCAGTTTGTTGGTCTCTTGAATATTTTTGCATTTTTACATTAAAATTATTGGTCATTCTGAAATTTAGTTAACAAATTGATAATATACAGTGCAGAAATTATTATGAAACATGAAAAAGGCATTAGAACCAATGCACTCCGTAAAGAATATGGCATGTCATCATCGACTGCCTCTACAATCAGCTGTTTGATATGTAAACAAAGCTGCCGGGAATACAACATACAGTCCTGCAGATTTACTTAACTTCAACATACCAGAAAAAGACCAAACTTTATTATTATTCTTTCATTTTTATTTCCTTGTCCTCCCTCTGTAGTGAATTAGATTTATCCTAACCTAACCCATCAACTTGCCAGGAATTAGAGGTGACCAACCAAGGGATGTTACTGGGCAGTGTGCACCAGGAGTGGAGCTTCTGTACACCCTGGGCTGGGAAGTACTCCATCAAGAATGCATCTGGGGATGTGGTGTTCAGGTTGAAGGCTCCCTGCTGTGTCTGTAGCTGTGGCAGTGACATCATCTTCCCGGTGAGTTACTTGATAAGAGTCACATATGATGAACATTCAGCTGATTATTTGGATCACCTTTAAATTAGACACCCAAGCTTATTTCACCTTTAGATTAACCTAACCTGACTTTAACGTTCACCTAATTTAACCTAACCTAACCTGACTTTAACGTTGACCTACAGTAATTTAACCTAACCTAACGTGCTCAAGTAGCATTAGGGTTGCTAATCTTCAGGTTAAATATGCTAGGGTGTCAAATCATCAGGTGATCTGATTCTTCAATAGAAAGATAAGGAGATACTGTATCTTTATCCTATCTTGCTTGGTAAAAACAAAGTACCAGTGTTAAAAATCTCAGAACATGTAGAGAAATATTAACAATGCAAGGAAAAAGAGAATGCATCCCAGTTATTTATATCACTTGGTCTGTGGTTACACTTGACTCCAGCTAGACCCTTATATGGTTACCAAGAGTAAGGACACTGATTAGTTGTCTGGTCAAGGAAACAGAAGGTGTAGGTATGTGCAACAGTTTTCACAATTTCTACTACTATTTGGCTTACTGTGACTGCTATTACTGTAACATTTCTACTACTACAGTACTACTTTTTTAAGACGTGGCCTCCAGCCTCCCCCAATAGCCTCACCTTTGCCACCATTTTATTACCTGAAAATTAAATATCCTAATACAACAGTAGCTACCCTAGCTGTGTTGAGTTAGTTAAACCGCAGATCTATGCGGCATTCAGTGACTGCTACCTCATAGTCAATACTCCCTGTATTTGCGACCGTTATCAGCTTTGGGGCCAAAGACTTCATTCCCCTCAGGCAAAGCAATGCAGACCTAAGCAGAGAGGACAGTCGATATAACCCAAATTTGCCAGGAAAATGATGTTGTAGGATGACCCACACACATATTGGGAGGGCAAACCTTCTACTGGCCAGCCATACCTCAGAGCAATTGCATCTATAAATTCTTGTTTATTAAGACTGAAGCCTTTTGCACTTATCAGTAGCTTTGTTAGCCAGTTTGAGGTGCTCGCCTCCTGCGCTATAGCTAATTTTTCTTCAAGCTCTCTGATGATTGCAGCATCAGTTGTTGAAGTTAATCACTTTGGGTTTGCTGCTGTTCTGTCGTAATGGACCATCGAATCTTGTTTAGTTCATTGGTGTCCACCTGACTTGCTGCATTCTGAGCTATTATGTGTTCAGTGAGGGCTGCTGTGAGCTTGATAGACTTCTGATATTTGGTGGCAGCAAGCTCCTCTGGATTAGTCAATTCCAGTCTCGGTGTCCTTTCTGCTGGTGTTAAATAATGGCTTTTCACTAGTGTTGGGATAAAAGCGACCTTGATGGCTTCTTCCAGAGGGTGGAGGAGGGGTCCGATGTTGGGGATAGTGCACATCAGGTAATTCCAGCGATGTTTGACTCCATGGGTAAATGCCGCAAACACTGCATGTGGCTCAGTTTTAGCAATCTTCGACAGAGCTTGGATTTCTTTCACCCACCCATTTACCTTTCCCATTACATACTCGGTCTTGAAATCGTTCATGCCAATTACTGCACCTACATGTCTTTGGCCGTCCTTTGTTATTTTGACCTCACTTCTGCCGAACATCTCTATAGCCAGGTCATGGCTTCACAATGAGGAAGGAGTGGCTAGTACCCTATTTGTGGACCACGTAATGTTACCTGTTCCCACCACTTGTTGATGTCCACTTTTCCTGCTCCTGTAAGGTCTTCAGCATATGCCACTTGCTTGACCTTAGTTGTTTCATTGTTTATTGTGTGTTGGAGCACGGATAGACCTATTGCATACATTGCCATGGTGACTGGATCCCCCTGCATAGTTCCCTCAGTTGACTGTATGGTGGTATCTCCTCTTTGGGCCTTGAAGCTAGTTATATAGAGGCCTGTCGGGTTCCTGTAGGTGTTTTCAACATACATTGCAAAGCTTGGACACTTGATCTTGATGTTTTGCAATTTAGCCTTGCGGTTGATTATGCTGAATGCATTTGAAGCGTCAACCAGGAGTTCTGCCTCACAATCATGCTGCTAAAATAACTTTCTCATCTTGTGAATAGCAACTTCACTCCCATCCTGTGGCCAGCACATACTTGCAGGTTCCATGCAGCTGCCCTGACATCATCAATGACCACCTCTGTTATGCATTTTCCAATGCAGTGCACTTCCCCCACCCATATAGGCCTATATCCTGGATTTTTGTTCAAGGGGATGAGGCGGCAGGCTGTCAGAGCTTGTAGGCGATGGCAGCATTAGGTTGTTAGCTTTCTTGGAAGGACAACGGTGGCATTGCAGAGATCACTTGTTGCATCACCAAACTTGTCAGTGCCGCGGATGCTTCTCCACCCGTCTGCATCCAGGCCTGAAGGGCCTGCACCTCCCTGTGTCTTCAGTGCTTTTTTTCCCCACCATCTCTCCTGTTATTTTCTTGAACATGACAGCGTTTGGGGGGGACATAGTCACCCCGGAACCTGGTGTCTTCCTCTGCACTTGTAGGGGATGTTTTTCCTTCAGTTGTTGCGAGGTCTCTGTTTATTGGCAGCACACCACAGGAAAATTCCTCAGAGAGATCTTATCGCCGAGGATGCTTTTCCCACTCGCATCTTATTACCAAACTTTGTGGCAGCATCCTGTGTCTTGCTTTCTATCTCCTGTAAATTTTAGTCTGCTGCAATGTTCTTGGCTCACTTAGGAGATCGTCAAGAGTCCCGTTCTGCCACATTGTCTGCCTTCTTTTCATTGCAGCTACATTTTCCTTGCACTTACTCCTTGTGTGTGTTCTCTGGCAGAATAGATGAGGTATTATTGCCAGTATGTGGAGAGCTTTGGGGCCAGGGGCTGTTATGAGTGTAATTTTGTTTGAGGTGAGTCATGTCAGATCATTTCTTTGGTGGCCCAATATTTTGGTGGTTCAAAGAGGTTAATTCGAGGCCACCTGACAGTTTCTGAGTAGGTTCTTTGACCCACTTCTCTTTATCTTCCCTCGACATGCCTTTACAATGTGGTGGCTGTTGGTACTACATTTTCAGATTGGTTGGGCTCACTGCTATTATGCAGGATATTGTCAGGCGGTGTTGTCCGGGCGATATCCACTCTGCCCTCCTGTGAAGGGTCCCTGCCCAGCGGATGCTGACAGTTGTTCCCCTTTCTGCACCCCACACAACGGCAGCAATTTCTCACACATTCACAGTTTGTGCAGTTTTAGTTCCGGCTAGAACAAGTGCAAGGACAGTTACCCGGCATAATGCTTCACACTTCGAGCAATAGGAGCATCTAGTGAGGGAGGCAGTAGATCTCTAGTTTTACTTGGTGGGTGAGGAGACACGAGACATGAATGACACGAATCTCCCAAGTATCCGGTGAGAAGGAGCAATTAAGCCCTTAGGACACTTGGTTAATACGGGTCACGAGTGCCATTTCATATGCCCTTATAAAAAGGGCCAGAGTGGCGGCAGGTTGGCCAGCAGTGTCTGGGTAGTAGGGACATATGTGCATGGGCATGGGTATGTAAGCCACCCCTGGGGGGTGAGGGCAATGAACTATACAGACTCAGAATTATATACTGGGAACAGGAATAGTCACACCAGGCTCTAATTTATACATCTATAACAGGAATCGTCACAACTTCTGTGATCACACTGATGTAGGTATAAGTGAAAAGTCTTCCTTGGTTGGGTATAGAGCATGGAGGGTGGTTGGCATCGCCTGGGGCGTCTGTTTACGTGTGGGAAGCAATAGTGTGCACACAATACTAGGCCTTCTAACACTGGCCACAGGGGCAGGAGTCAAGAGATTGCACCTGGTAAAGTAGGCACAGCCACCATCAGCCACTTATACCTCTCCTGGTGATTGCTGGTACACAGAAAATTTGCAATTGATGCTGTGTGGGATGAGGAGAGCCTTCAGTGTCAGTGATATGGGTGATGTCCAATATTCACCAACACACTGTGAAATTCCTGCTCCCACCTACTGAGTATGTCCCCTCCAAATTCACTGTAGACCCTGGAGGACACACAAAACACTACCCCTACCACCCACTACTACTACCTGTACTACTGTACTACTTTTACTACTGCTCTACTATTACTATGAATGCTATTACTACTATTTCTACCACTGCTAATCTATTAACTGTGACTGCTGTCACTTTATTACTTTTACTTCTATTATTACTACTGTACTATGTTTAATAAGTTCTAGGTACAGCATCTTTTTTACCATGTATAAATTAAAGCACCACTCATGATACTGCAACCATCTGAAACATAATTGCATCTGTGCTTTATACCTCCCATTCTTCTTCCTTTGCCTCCTACTTTTCTTCCTCCTATTCTTACTCCTCCTCCTCCTCTTTTTCCTTTTGATCGTTTTCCTCCTTGTGCTCCTCCTCATATTTCTCCTTGTGTTCTTCCTTATACTTCTTTTCCTTGGCCTCCTTCTCCTAATGCTTCTTCTCCTTGGCCTCTCTTCGTCATGTTTCTTTTCCTCATCCTCCTTCATCAACATTAAACTCCATATCTTCCTCAATGTGTAGGTGTTCACTGCAGACTGGGAACAACAGGTGGGTGAGATCAGAAAGGTTTGGAGAGGTTTCTGCGTGGAGAGTCTCACTGATGTTGACAACTTTACTGTCACCTTCCCCAAAGACCTGGACGTCCGTATGAAGGCCCTCTTCTTGGGTGCTGCCTTCCTCATTGTGAGTAGTGTGTGTGTGTGTGTGTGAGAGAGAGAGAGAGAGAGAGAGAGAGAAAGAGAGAGTGGGGGGGGAGATGAGGAAGGACTGTGATTAGTGCTGATGGCATTTCCTTCTCATAAAAATATTCTGGCAAGTCTCTGAGAACTTATATAACTGTCTAAAATTTAAATGTAGCGACATATGAATGAATGTAAAAAACATTTTGTGGATTTGTGGGATAATTTTTTATATTTAATGGGATATATATTTTTGAAAACCTACTGTTTTTCCAGGAATATATATACTATGAGCGGAAGCAGCAGTGAAGATGGCAAGTGACACGCATCCTAAGAATGACGCATTTTTACACAACTGGAAAGTCTAATAAGATGATGAACTGAGAGAGGAAGAGACAGAAAGCTGAAGAAGGATGTTTCCGCAGTACAGTACAGTACAGTACTACTTGATCATAAAGTGCAGGTGTTGGAGAGCTACTTGTTGAATTGTATCAGAGGAACTTCACCTGTATGATTACAATGGAAGAAACATATTGGGTGCATTTTCTTTATGCCACCCAAGTTCAAGCTCTGATTATTTTGAAATTAAAATGAAGCATAATTGTTAAACTGTTACTAATGCCACTAATCCAGGTCCTTGGGAACTTTGTGTTTTCTTGTTTTCTTGTGGTTATCACGCCAAATTGGGACCACGCTGAGTGCGTGATAATGAAAAACGCGATAACGAAAGTACAGAACCTATGGGATTTATTCCAATTGGTTCCAGGCACCCAAGACCCAACCCCAATTTTCCCATTTTACAACCATTTAGACCCACTAAAGATATAGATAATGTTATGGTAAGTATCAGAAACTCACATAGGCATGGCTAGGTTTATTACAAAGCGATGAAAAGGGTACGCTCAATACTGTAGTCCACAAAACATGTAGCTCCACAAAAAACTTTTGGTTTTCAAAGCTTTTCGGTTTTCGGAATTTCGGATAAAGGGTTGTCAACCTGTATTACCATTTCACAAAAATTTCTCAAATTCCTTTACAACTAAAAACCTGGAATGTCAATGTGGCATTTAAAAACTCATGCTCTGTTAAACAAATGTTAATCAAGAACTCCCCCAACAATATAGGTGGCTGCATTTATAAGGTTCCTTGCAAGGAATGTAATATGTTTTACTTAGGCCAGACAGGTAAAGATCTTGTAACTTGACTTAAACAACATAAATATAGTGTTAAGACAAGCCAGGAATCCAATGCTCTGTTTGTTCATTTGAGGGATAATAAGCATTTCATTGACTGGGATAATGTCTCCTCAATATTACCTTGTAATTCAATTGACAGTAGGAACATTATAGAATCCAGTCTCATTAAACATACCAAATCCGTCAACATGAATTTGAGTAATGGTATGTACAAACCTGATAATTTCGTAATTAAGAAGATTTGTAACCAGGTGAGAAGGTTGGGTCATCTTACCCTCTGACCTGACTACCGATTGCTGCGGTGCTTTTTGAAGATTAGTAGGGTCACTACCTAATAACCTGACTATTGTGGACTTGATCTCACCTTCCTCTACTGTATATATATTTGCCTTATTATGTATTTCTCCCTAGTCTGTACTCACCCTTGAAGATGTAAATCACACGAAAGAGCTTGGGAACTTCGTATTTTCATTTTCCTTGTGGTTATCAGCATATACCTGGATCACGTGCACCTACAGTGATTTACTATATATATATATACAGTGTACCCTCACTTTACGCGGTTAATTCAACCCACGGCGGCCCGCGTAAAGTGAACAACATAACATATGGGATTAATTGAAATAGAGACCGGGCCGACCCCCAAACTCCACTTTTTCAGACACAATACCTAATTTGTAGTAAAAATAACTTCTTAATTTTATGATGGTATGCACACACAATTAATAATTAAGAGAAATATCAATAATATTAGGTTTTTTAACACTTACATGAGTAGAAAAGATGGCTGGGCACACCGGAATGGGGGATTGGTTCCGAGGCAGAGGGCAGATTATTGGCTCTCACCTGTATCACTTGCATCAATTGTATCACTATCCACAACAGAGGCATGCAGGGCCTCTTTGTCAAACCCCTCAAAGTCCATATAAGTCCATATCCTCACTATCATTATCACTATCACTGACTTGGGCCGGCTGTGGTGGGTGGCGGGTGAAGAACTCGGTAATGTTTTGATGACTGGGCGACCTTGTGCGCACCCTGCTAGCGCCGCTCTCTGCGTAAAAGGGTACACACACCGCGGAAAGTGAGCATTCCGGTTTCGGCAGGGGTAGCGTGGCGTGGAAGCGTAAGTGGGACATGCGTAAAGGGGTTGACTGTAACAAAACATACCAGCAACAACAACATTGTATGCATAATATATAATAACAACAATATATATATGTATGTAGCAGCAACCAATAAACACAACAGCCAACAACAACAACATTATACATAACATATATATATAATTATATACACATATTAATAACAACAATAATAACAATATGCTAAATCAACAAAATGGCAGAAATAATGGACACTGGTAGCCTTGCAAGATCCAGGTTGGGTTATCCTTATGGGACCCTGTGTACACAGGTAGTAGTATCGTAAGGGCAACCTTACCTAGTAGTAACACCCTCTGGTGTCAATCATTACAATAAATATTGCAACTCTTTGTATAGTAACTTAATGTGTCGTATAAATCAAAAAATACATATTTTTCGGTTTATAATAATCCTAGAAAAAGTGATTCCAAAGGCGAAAATGACAGAGCCAATTTTTACACTTCCCTAAAAGTAGAAAATCTACTTACGTTCCATTGAGAATCCGAACTTACGATCTTTTTTAATTGTAGGTTCACAACAGAAAAATAACAAAAGTTGACACTTAGGATCCCCTGAGAATCAGAAAGATCTTAAGTTCGAACTTACGATCTTTATAATTCTCAAAAGATCGTAAGTATCTCACTAAATAAGTTATTTTTCTCTTTATCAGACTTACGATCTTTAAATTAGAAGATTGTAAGTTTGAACTTAGAGAAAAAAATAACAAAGTAGATACTTACGATATTTTGAGAATTAGAAAGATCGTAAGTTCGTCTTTGAAATAGAAAGTTCGTAAGTATCTACTTTTAAGTGAATTTTTCTCGTAGGATCAGGCTTATGCTCTTCTAATTCTTAAAGGTTAGTAATATCTACATTTAAGTTATTTTCTCTCTTAAGTTCGAATTTCGACAATTAAAAAAGATCGTGAAGTTCAGATTCTCAAAAAGATAGTAAGTAGGCTAGCTACTTTTCAGGAAAGTAGATTATCTAATATTCGACAAATTTACCGAATATTTTAAATTTCGAAATTAGATAATCTATTTTCCCGAAAAGTAGATACTTACGATCTTTGAGAATTAAAAGATCGTAAGTTCAAACTTAAGATCTTTCCAATTCTCAAAAGATCGTATGTGCTACTTTAAGTTATTTTTCTCTTAAGTTCGAACTACGACACTTAAAAGATCGTAAGTTCGGATTCTCAAAATCATAAGTATCTACTTTTAAGGAAAGTAGATTATCTACTTTCGGGAAAGTAGATTATCTACTTTTCGGAAATAGATTATCTACTAAGGAAAGTAGATTATCTAATTTTAGGGAAAATTTTCGAATATTTTTTGGAAATTTCCCAAAAATTCGGAAAATTTCGAAAATTAGATAATCTACTTTCCTGAAAATGAATAACACTACTATCTTTTGAGAATCCGCACTACGATCTTTTTAAATAATAAATGGATTGACAAAAAATAACTAGGCTACTACGATCTGTTGAGAATTAGAAAGATCATAGTTCAGACTTAAGAAAAAATCACTTAAATGTAGATATTTCACGATCTTTTGAGAATTGGAAAGATCGTAAGTTTTTTCTCTTAGTATCTACATTTAAGTTATTTTTTCTCTTAAGTTCGAACTTATGACAATTAAAGAGATCGTAAGTTCGGATTCTCAAAAGATCGTAAGTATTGTAGTGGACTTCTCCCCTACAAACTGCGTAGCTGCATCCCTAGCAACCAAACGAGCGGCGTCACCAGATGCGCCGCCGTATCCTAGCAACCGAGCCAAAGACCGGTTACTTCTCCGGTTTTCCCAACATGACTCACAGATGACTCATGGCTGCTGGGTATATAAGCTCTGTCTCTCCATTGAGATTCATTCTAGCCTCTCTTCTACAACACGCAACACCACCTCCGCGCTGCCTGGCGGCCCTCGCCTCTCCTCCGCCTGCCTGGCGGTCCTCGCTCCCGCCAGCGAGCATGGCGATACAGCTGTCCTTCTCTGAGCTTCCTCATCAACCAGCTTTCTCATTCTGCCCATCTTCCTGAACACACCAACACCTCCTCCAGCAAGCTCCCGCTGTCAGCTTTCATTCAACCAGGAGGCCAGCAACAGGCAACATCTTCTCTACTAAGCTCCTGCACATCTACCTCCTTCAACACACTACTCACCGAACGTCTCTACTGAGCAGCTCCTCACCACACGGCACCTCCAGCACCAGACTGTCTATCATATAACTTATATTATACAAGAAAACCACCTTAGAGTTTCCATCCATCCTGAGTGCTAGACAATATTATACCACGAATTCCTACAGTATCTACTTTTCGGAAAAGTAGATTATCGACTTTTGGGAAAATATTACTTAATCTTCTGAATTAGATTATCATAGAAAACGGGAAATTTGTATCACAGAAAATGGGAAATATCTACTTTCTGGGAAAGTTGGTTATCTACTTATCATAAAAAATGGGAAATTTATATCATAGAAAATGGAAAATATCTACTTTCCCGAAAAGTAGATTATCTACTTTTCGGGAAAGTACATTATCGACTTTTTGGGGAAATAGATTATCGACTTTTGGGAAATATTACCTAATTTCACGAAGTAGATTATCATAGAAAACGGGAAATTTGTATCATAAAAAATGGGAAATATCTACTTTCCGGGAAAGTTGGTTATCTACTTTCCCGAAAAGTAGATAGATTTACTTTTCGGAAAGTAGATTATCGACTTTTCGGGAAGTAGATTTTCGAATTACGGAAATATTACTAATTTTGCGAAGTAGATTATCATAGAAACGGGAAATTTGTATCATAAAATGGGAAATATCTACTTTCCGGGAAAAGTTGGTTATCTACTTTCCCGAAAAGTAGATGAATTTTTACTTTTCGGGAAAGTAGATTATCGACTTTTCGGGGAAGTAGATTTTCGAAAGGGAAATATTACCTAATTTTGCGAAGTAGATTATCATAGAAAACGGGAAATTTGTATCATAAAAATGGGAAATATCTACTTTCCGGGAAAGTTGGTTATCTACTTTCCCGAAAAGTAGATTTTCTACTTTTCGGGAAAGTAGATTATCGACTTTTCGAAGTAGATTTTTCGAATTTTGGGAATATTACCTAATTTTTGCGAAGTAGTTATCATAAAGCAGGAAATTTGTATCATAAAAATGGGAAATATCTACTTTCCGGGAAAGTTGGTTATCTACTTAATAGATAAACCTACTACTTTCGGAAAAGTAGTTATCGACTTTCGGGAAGTAG